GAGTTTCCAGGTTTTTAGAAATCCACCCACATTGGCGGTATGTACAAAGAACTTGTGTTTTACTATGAATTTAAGAGAGCATTCAAATCCTTAATCAAAATTGCAGGGGAGTTCTACACCAGAACTCAGGTCGCAATTGAAACATGATCTAGTCAGCACCATGTATATATTGCTTTCCTGCAAGAAACACAATTTAGGGAGGGAGCTGAGTCTGCATTAAAGAGTAAACATTTCACCATGGCTTTTTATGAAAATCACCCGACAGCGCAAAAAGTGGGAGTAGCTATCTTAGCTGCAAAATTGCAGTTTGCTGAGGTTGACAGTCGTGGATCCAGGGGACAGGCACCTCTTTTTAAAAAGGGATATTCTGGGCCGTAGATACACGCTTGCATCTGTTTATATCCCCAATTGCAACCAATCCCAATACATTCATAAAATCATCACCATACTGTTCACTTTCACTGAAGGGAGCCTACTACTGGGTGGAGGTTTTAATGTCCCTTTGAACCTGATTTTTGTAGATAAATCGGGTAATAGTAGTGTTCCTCAGAGAGCTCTCAGAAATATACAAAAGTCCCTACCACTCTCTGACTGGTGGATTGCTAGAAGGAGCTGCAGCCAGTGGATAAAGAGTTTACGCATTACTCAGCCCTTCACCACCAATATGCCCAGATAGACTATTTGTTCTGTCAGCAGGAGACTCTATCGAGCTTATGGAGGACTGTGATTGGGGCACTGGTCTGGTCTGACCACGGCCCTGTTTTACTTGAGTTGGGCTCTCCGCTTTCGAGACCGTTCAAATGGTCATGGAGACTTAATGACTCTCCTGTTGGACATAGAGACCAGAGAGCGGGTCACTGAAGAGTTATCATCCTACTTTGCAGACAAATTCAGAGTCCATGTAGGCTTCCATACTTGGAATAGCGCAAAACTTGTAGAACTTTGGCAGTCCTGGCTGTGGTTTTGTCACGTATTCATCTGCTTATAAAAATGTGGTTAATGGCATTTACTGTCCACACAGGAAAAGTTGTGCCGAGCAGCAACCAAATCCACAGAAGGGTTAATGCTGAGCAATTATGCAAATGGCAACCTGGTAACTGCCTTTGGGGTCAAAGGCCGGTTACAGCCAATCAGATCTAGAGAAGGTGTATTTAGACCCAGTTCTCATCCTGCTCAGTGCCCTGTCGTGGTTGTCTGAGAGCGCGTTCCTGATTCAAGATTCTTCTGTTTTTTGACTTTGGCTTTGATTTTGACTTCCCTGTATTCTGTATCCCTGACTTCTGACTTTCTCTTATCGTTGTGTCTCATTCTGTGTCCCCGGACCTCGGCAAGTATCCTGACTATTCTTTGGTACGTTAAGTCAGGCCATTCTAAGGCCCGGTAATACGTTACCTATTAGTCATCTGTGTGACACAATTCTATGTGCTGGATCAACTAGTAATCCTGACAGGTGAGTACTTTAAATTGGGTGAGTACTTTAAATTGACTCCTATAGTGAAGTATAAGAGGACTGACTAGAGGGCAAAATCAGTCTGGCAGCATTCATTACAGACTGTAGCTAGGCAATACAGCTTTTGATAAGATCAATTAGGACAGGGTTACAATAATCCAAGCAGGAAATTACCAGAGCATGGATAAGCTCCTTGGTAGCATCTTGCGTAAAATAGAGGCGAAAGCGGGCTATGTTTTTAAGATGTAATCTACAGGATTTGGCAACATACTGGATGTGAGGCTCAAAGGTGAGGCCAGAATAAAGTATGACGCCAAAACAGCGCACTTGCAAGGATGGTCTTATGTGGATACCACTAACTTGAAGGGAAAGTGAGAGAGGAAGATCAGTATTAGGAGGAGAAAAGACAAGGAGTTCAGTTTTAAAGAGATTGAGTTTCAGAAAGCAGGAGGACATCCAGTCAGAGATGGAGGAAAGGCAAGCAGTGACACGTTGCAGGACGGCAGAGGAGAGGTATATCTGAGTGTCATCAGCGTACAGGTATATCTGAGTGTCATCAGCGTACAGGTGGTAGTGGAATCCAAATGAGGTAATACGTTTGCCAAGAGAGGCAGTATAAAGAGAAAATAGAAGGGGAACGAGGACAGAGCCTTGGGGGACTCCAACGGAGACAGGACGAGGGGAGGAGGTATTATTAAAAAGGAGAGACTGAATGAGTGTTGGGAGAGATAAGAGAAAACCACGAGAGGACAGAGTCACATACATTGAGGGATTGAAGAGTTTGAAGAAGGAGAGCATGATCAACGGTGTGAAAGGCAGCAGAGAGGTCAAGAAGAATTAGTATGGAGTAGTGGCCTGTGGCTTTAGCTGCGGATAGGTAGTTAGTAACTTTGAGAAGAGCAGTCTCAGTAAAGTGTAGAGGGCGGAAGCCAGATTGAAGACGGTCAATAGAGTTGGAATTGAGGAAGTGAGACATACGGGTAAAGACAAGTCTTTCCAGAAGTTTTGAGAAAAATGGGAGCAGGGATATGGGACTATAGTAAGCGGGGGCCAAGAGATTTTTTTTTTTTTTTCAGGATAGGTACTTCAGTGGCATGTTATAAGGTCAGCAGGGACAACGCCAGAAGAGAGCAGTTCATGTGTAGTAAGTAAGGCACAAGACGGGGAGAGAGCTCTGATAAGGTGAGATGGGACAGGATCGAGTTGGCAAGTGGTGGGGCGAGAGGAAAGGAGAAGCGCAGCCACCTCTTGTTCAGTAGCCAGGGAGAAAGTCTGAAGGGTAGGAAAGGAATGATCTATGTGTGGTTGAGAAAGAGAACGGAAAGGTGGGGAGAATTCTTTCCTTAGCTGTTCAATCTTGTCGGTAAAGTAACATGCAAAGCTATTGGCTGTAAGGTTAGTTTGGGGGAGGCAACAGCAGGTCGAAGAAGAGAGCTAAAGGTGTCAAAGATGCCTGGGATTGTGGGAACATGAACTAATGAGAGCGGAAAAGTATGACTGTTTGGCAAGGGCAAGTGTTGCGCTGTATGAACACAATATGAATCTATAATGGAGAAAAGGTCTGTTTGGGTGCGAGACTTCCTACAGGATCGTTCAGCACAACGGGTGCATTTTTGCAGGTAGCGTGTTGATTTAGTATGCCACGGTTGGGGGCGTGTCCTCCTAGAGGTGCCTGTTTGGAGCGGGGCTGCAGCATTCAAGGCCCCAAGCACGTGAGGGTAGTGTTATCTGTGGAGATTGCCGGAGAGGGAAGGGATGGATAGCAGTTGCAAATCAATATCAGCTGACCACTGCTGGAGGTCAATAGAACTAAGGTTCCTCTTGAGTTGACGGGGGTTAGGCAGAGATTGTTGGGTGAGGGGGTACTTGAGAGCAAATAATAAGAGGTGATGATCAGAGAGAAAAAATGGAGTGTTGCAGATATTAGATACTGTACATGCATAAGAGAAAATGAGGTTGAGGGTATTGCCAGCTATATGAGCGGGAGAATTAGCCCACTGTGATAGCCCGAGGGAGGAAGTAATTGAAAGTAGTTTAGAGGCTGCTGAGGTCAAAGGTGGGTTAATGGGAATATTGAAGTCTCTGAGAATTAGGGATGGAATATTAGAGAGGAAGTAGGGTAGCCAGGTAGCAAAATGGTCAAGGAAGAGGAGAGGGGAACCTGGGTGGCGATAAATAACGGCAATGCTAGCAGAGAGCGGTTTGAAAAGGGGAATTGAATGAATTTCAAATGATGGGAAAGAGAGGGAAGAGGGAGGTGGGTGGAAGTTTGAAGGAGCAGTGAGGTGAGCGGAGAAACCCTACACCACCTTTACATTCAGAGTGTCTTGGGTTGTGTGTAAGTTGAAGACCACCAAAGGACAAAGATGCAGGGGTAGCAGTGTCAGAGGGGGAGAGCAATGTTTCTGTTAAGGCTAGTAAATCTAGGGAACGAGACATGGAGAGGTAGTGGACAGCAGTGGCTTTTGTAATATTGCAAACAGAACGTGCATTCCAGAGGGCAGTATTGAAGGAGGATTTAGAGGAAGAGTAACATTAGATGGGTATGAGATTGGTGTGGTTCCTTGAGTTAGTACATGGTGGATGTGCTGAGATGGGACCGGGGATTGGAGAGACATTACCAGCTGCTAGGAGCATGCCGGAGTACAGGATACGACATATGCTCTGACGTACCTATTTATCTAATTTCTACTGCATCTCGAGGAAACAAAATAGAATAAAAATTTTAAGGGGGGAAAAAAAATAGGTTAATATGTACTGTGCTTCGTGTAATCATCTAATATGTTGTTAAAGGTCTGATTTCGCAATTAATTAACCTGGACATGACTCTGTATGGTCAGTTTCTATACTGCTATTGTCTGGACCTGTGTGTCCTGTTTATTGTATATATTTTCTGAATGCAAGAATTTTATATCTTTTTTGTGTTATCCTCAATAAAAACTGATTTAACAAACACAAAACAATAAATAAATTAGAGAGTGATAAAGGGAATAGAAAATATCTGGGTAGGGCTTTGTTTTCACTGAACAACCCATCTTGTGGATGCACTAGATTCATGACTAAGGTTGTCCCTTTAAATAATGTTTTGTTTTGTTTTTTAACTTTTTGCACTATAATCATGTTTAGTCCAAAATATTCATAGCTGACTCTCAACTTTTTTTTCTTACAAAACTGACATTTTTCTTTGTATCTTTTCAGATATGATAAGAGAGAAGATATTACCCCAGAGGATACAGCTATGCTTTCATACACACACATTATCATGGAGATGGACACCACTCACTTGTCTAACTTTAAGAATACTCACAAAATACTGGCCAACATAACCGGCCTTGGTGGAACTGCATTTAACATCCATTCTTATCCTCCTGTGCAGCTAAAATTTCTAACAAAATTAGTAATTTTAGAAAATCTTCCACCATTTTGATGTGTTTTTTTTGTTTTGTTTGTTTTGTTTGTTTTTGTTATTTGTATATAAATGCACTTAAGAAGAAAGTTATCGGTCTTGGTGTTTTTCAATATTGTGAGTTTGAGTATTGGAAAGGGGGGGGTGGGGTGGGGAGGAGGAGAGGTATGTAGCTATGCATAATACGAATTTGTGATTCTACTGCAAAGATACATTAAAGTGGAACTGTCAATAGTAAGATTTATACAGGAGCCAACTAACCGTTCGTTATGGGGTGTGCTATTTCACTTTAACTCCAGGACTACTAAAGGTAGTGCATGCAATGAGCTAAACTAACATTTCTAGGGAAATGCTAATGTGCGCACCGGAGGCATCATTGGTTGGTGAAGTTGTCCTAGGCAGGATAGACTTTACAGGGACACTAGTCACCAGAATCACTACAACTTAAGTGGTTCTGGTGTTTATAGCATGTCTCTGCAGGTTTGTCATAGAAAAGACAGTGTTTGCATTGCTGCCTAGTAAACCCTCTAATTGCAGTCACTCAGACTGCCACTAGAGGTGCCTCCTCAATCAGGGTTCAGTGTCTCCACACTCTGCATGGAGGTGCTGAACATTTCCAATAGAGAATCATTGAGTTAATGCATCTCTATGACTAGATGCCGATTTGGTTCAGTGTAGTTGTGCTACAGCAATAGCTTTCTAATGGAAAAGTATTGGATTGGCTGAGATCGTCAAGACTGATCATTTCAGCCAGGGAGACTGAGCCAGCTGTGGCAAAATTAAAGTGATGCGGCAAAACAACTATTTAGTGACCTAAATAGTTTAACACTATAGGGTCAGGAATAAATGTTTTTATTCCTGACACTATAGTGTTCCTTTAGGTTTATTACTGTATAACAATACAGCTGCTACATTATTTATATCCCCAAATGTTTCAGTACTGTTTAGTGGGGTGGGAAACAAAGCACCACCACTTTACAATAAGAAACTGCACTATACCTTAAAATGGCTGCAGTGGGAAATTTGTGATTGGACAGCTGTGGAAAGTCTGGGCTGGGGTAGAAGGGGAGATGTGCAAAGATTTTTAGATATATCCCCTAACGATAAGAATGCGTAATTAAATGCATGCTTCCATTGGAGGTATATCAACTAAACTGATTTATTTTAGTAAAGTGAAGTGTCCCTTTAAAGATAGAGACTATTATGTGTCATCGTAAAGACTGGCTGATAGACCTCAACAGCATAAATCCACCTAACTGCTTAAACAGCACAGCAGAGTCTCCTTTAATTCATTGCTCTGGACAATTACTTTAAATGCCGTATTCTGCCCTTAGCATTAGGTACAGTACCATACACTTTCTTAAAACCTGGATTTGTAAGTAATCTGACACTCCAACCCCACATCACTAAACAGCATGTAAAGGAAAAAGACCATGAAGATTACAGGATCACAGCAGCTTCACAGGTGACAGGGAAATTATCCACTCCAGCTCCCCCAAAGGCAGGGCGGCTGGGTGGACTTCAATAAAAAAAAAAGTGTGTCTCTCTCTGTTTAAGTTACAGCCTCACCAATCGTATGGGAATGGTATTTTTACACACAGTGTCTGTCTTGCCATGATAATCTCAGCCAACCCAATACTTGCATTGGGAGACTATTGTACATGCCATTCAGCATCTCCTTATAGAGATGCATTGAATTAGTGCATCTCTATAGGGAACATTCAGTGCCTCCCTGCAGCGTGTGGAGATGCTGATCGAAGGTGCTGCACATTGTGAAGTACTGACACAGGAAAAAGCAGTGTTTACATTGAAAAATGTTCAGGGATGGTATAGGCACCAGAACCACTACAGTAAGATCTTATTGGCAGAAATTATGATGGGAGGCCTATATGAACAGCCTGGCCCTTCAAGCTACTAGGTGCACAGATTCCTGCCAATCGCCTTGAGCTAAATATCTAGCCTGATTTTGTAGTTTGTCACTATTTAAAGGACCACTATAGTGCCAGGAAAACAAACTTGTTTTCATGGCACTATAGTGTTAATAGGTGCCCCCCCCCCCTCCCGCCGGGCTCTAGGGGGAGGAAGGGGTTAAAATCTTACCTTTCACCAGCACCGGGCTCCCTCGGCGCTGGGGACTCTCCTCCTCCTTCCGACGTTATCGGCTGAATGCGCAGTCAGTCCATAGGAAATCATTCTCAATTGCTTTCCTATGGACGCTGGCGTCTTACTGTGAAAATCAATGAGACAGCCACTAGAGGCTCTCTGAAACCATGTTTACAGCAGGCAGGGTTAATCCTAGATGGACCTGCCACCCAGACCACTTCATTAAGTTGAAGTGGTCTGGGTGCCTATAGTGGTTCTTTAATGTTTGAGTACTTAACTCATCCCGACTAACAACCCTTTACACTCAGTTTTTTTTTTTTTGGGGGGGTGGGGGTTTGGTTCTTAGCATTTGATTTTGGACATCTTATGATTAGGTTTCCTAAATGCATAATTTCACACTTGGAAAATGTAATTTTACAATTAAGGCATTTTACAAAGATGTTAAAATATACAGATAAACACACTTAAACCCAATGATTTCTTTAGAAATATTGGATTTCCTTCTCTTTTGGACTAAAACTTGAAATTCACCCAATGATCAATCATTCATACTTTAGTAAATAGCCCTGATAAACTTATTGCAAATAAGGGTTGTGAACACAATTAGAATATAGAAAAAGATATATCTCAATGAGATAACAAAAGAGAGAAATCATTGTTGGGTGTGTTTAAATATGGTTTAACTGGAAATGTGACTCTGTATGAACTGATTTGTGTTTTATATTGTTGATAACCAATACTAATTTTGTAAAAGATTGCATATGCTCTGAATCCTCACTCAAACGGGGAAAATTCAATTTTACATACAATAAACGCTCACTCAAATTTTTTAAAAAAGTGCCTACTGTAAATAAAACTGTTTAATTTTAAAAACATTGGGATGACCATTTATAAATACACAGTTACAGAGATGTAAAAATTTGAAATCAGAATTCGGTACAGTATTTTAACAAAATGACAAATTAACGAACATATATTACAGCAATATCAAAGAAACAGAAAATTGTGGCATCTGGGCTGAAGTATTTTCAGAACACTTCTACAATGTTAGCATGTACTCTCTTGACACCATATATATAAATATATATATATATTAAAAAATCCACACCAGTTGAGACAAAAGGGCTCTTGAAATAAGTTAACATTAAAGTCAGCAATTGTGTCATGCTACATTTTAAAAGGTATGGTGCCTTCCATTATGTGGAAAAAAGCATTCTCTGCAATTTGATCTGAAAAAAAAGATATAAAAAAATGTGAAGTGTCCCAGACTTTTACTATGTTAAGGATTCTGTACGTGGTTTTTTTTCACTTCTATTTATGAAACACAGACAGAATGTCCCACAATAAATCAGACCGGCAAGGGGGTGGAGGGACGACAAAAAAAAATAAAAAAAAATTTAACAAAACAAACAGAATTCACAACACATCTAAGATTAATAGGACATTAAAATTACCCAACATGATAATGTCATAACCTTAAAACAGTATCAGGAGTCTCATTGCATGTACACACAAATTACTGTTTGCAGTGTTACACACTTTGTGCTGTTGCGCTTTGTGGATTTTGTAACAGACTGACAAATGCATGCTGAAAAACAACCATAAACATTACTTCTCTTCAATACAATAAGATACTAAAGGGTAATGCAAACATTGTTTTTAAAGCCCAGTTTAAATGTACTTGACCCAAATCCTTAGACAGGAGCATCTGTAGTCAATCACAAATGACTTGCTGTAAACCATACTATAAATATTACCCAAGATGGAAACATGACCTGATCTTTATATACAAATAAAACAAACAAAAACAATATATATATATATATATATATATATATATATATATATATATATAATCCAAACTAAAATACAGTACCTTTAAATTTTTTATATATAATTGAAGAGAAAAACTACAAAATAAAACTGTTTACATCTTTTTTTTGCCGTTCTATTATAACAAACAAAGTTCACTTTTTACATATGTATTTACAAATATGAAGACTAAAACCTACTTTTCTTTAAGAATTATAAAAACAAAAATAAAAACAAGAGACTTGCTAAGGTTAAAAACAAACAGGAAAAAATAAAATAAAAAATGATATGTACAAGATCTGGCCGATTGAAAAACTGAGTAAGGCACATGTAGACTATATTTAAAGCGAAAACATTGGAACGTAATTAAAAAAATTACAGTTACTGATTGGATGTCTTACATGACCCCTGTGGAGCAATTTAATAAAAACTTAGAAAAAAACCAGTTAATTATTCAGTAAGCAACAATAGTTTTCACCTGACAATTGGTTGGTTTCAATACTGAAAGTAAATTAAAGGAAGATTAACTTTCAAAAAGATGAGCTGTTCGAAATGTTCCATCATTGACCGAGTTTGGTTAAAATGACTATTTTCATTTGAGGTGTTAAACAGCCGCTCAGGAGGAATAATGCTTGGGGGACAACCTAGAAATCGAACAGCTAGCTTTGATAGAGCAGGCCATGAAGATTTCTTTAAATTCCAGTAAGTTAAAGGATCACAGTTGTGCTCAAGCACTTCCTCTTCCAAATAAGCAAACACAATATCTTCGGGTAACTTTTCCTTTATAGTTTTCGATTTTTTTAGGTTAGCCATAAGCGACCAAATATTTTCTTCAACATTAGTTTTAGGTGGTGAACTTTTGAGACACCCATTAAGAACAGGCATGTCATCTGAGGTAGAATTTAGTAGTTCCAGTTCCCTGATTAATCCTTGTTTATATTCCTCGGCCTCCTCCTCTGCAAATAAGGAAGCCTTGTACCGAGGATCCAAGAGAGTTGCAAAAATGTATCTTGGATCATGAAGAGTTGATGATAGTCTACAAACCATGGCTTCTTTAAGGGATTTCAACATTGTATCAATTCCCATTGTTTCCTCAAACAACATCTCTATCTTTCGATTTAGTATATGGATCATCGGAATCACCTGACTTAAGGTAGCCATATGCATACTCATTTCTCTCCTGGCTGCTTCAAAAGGTTTCAGAGCATGGCAGACAGACTGCATCACTTCCCACTGATCGCAACTTATTAACTCCCTGAAGTTGCACTCAATGGACATTTCATCAATTGCCCTCTTCTGCTCAATCAGCCTCTCCAACATATGAAATGACGTATTCCACTTTGAAGGAACATCTTGAATGAGTGAGTGCAGAGGCAGTCCATATTCATTTTGCAACTCTGACAATTTTTCTTTTGCTTTCGTTGACCGATGAACACGTTCACAGATCTTTCTTGCAATGCTCAGAAGATTTTGAACCATTCGTTGACTCTTAATTGCCTCATTTACAATAAGATCCACAGTATGGCCAAAGCACTGCACACTTGAATGTTCACTCTCGTTTAATGTTTTCCCTATGCTATGATTATCTGTTACAGTGATGCCCATTTTAAGGCCGAATGAGGTGATCCACGAGTCCCATAAATATTCCAGATGTTTTTGAACGCTGACCCCATTGTAGTCACAGTCAATCTGTGATACATGTAGAAGTGCTGAACAATGGTAATCGTTGCTGTGTGGCCTGAAGGAAGAGTCAAATGTTACCCAGTGAGCAGTGAGTGTTAAATATTCCCGTGTCTGGCTACTCATCCAGATTCCAGCTGTGAAGTGAATTACACCACCCTCTGCTTCTTTCAATTGTGAGGAGATTACCTGTTTCACATTTTCATACATATCTGGAATAGCAGTTGTGGAAAAATAAGAAGCGGATGGTAAGGAGTATTGAGGTTGAAGGTATTCAAGCAGTCTGTTAAAACCAACATTGTTTACAAATGAGTATGGCTGAAGATCAAGTGCCATCATTTCAGCTACAAGACTTGTGATTTTTTTGGCAACTGGGTGAGAGTCACTAAATTTGTCATTGGTTTCGTCAAATGAGGAGGTGGCTGTTAGGTCTGTGTTTATAGATGTGTGTCCATCTGCTGATGGTAATGTGTCTGGAACACCGTTATTTTGCAGTACATTGTTGTGGAAGCGCTGTAAATGTCTCAGGAGGCAGCTAGTGCCTAAATTGGTCGGTTTTTTCCCTCTGCTAATTGTGCGCCCACAGTGCATGCATATAACCTTAGTAGAATCTGCTGAACAAATTGAGAAGTGATTCCACAGTTTTGAGGTCTTCTTGCTGTTTGTAGGTAAGACAATCTGATCGCGAGTCACTACTGTCGGCAATTCTGGGATTTTTGAAGAAGAGCACTCCGCAGAGGCCAATGTAGCGTAAGGTGAATTAGCTAAACCAACATCCATAAAGCTTTTTTGGTTTAATAGTATTTCTGGATGTCTTCGGTAAAGATGTCTCATTAAACAGCTGGTTCCCAAATCACCCTTTTTACCCCTGCTGATCATACAATTGCAATATCTGCAAATTGCTTTCAAGTTATCAATTGGTGATAATGAAAAATGGTGCCATACTTCAGATTTCAGCCGTTTCATAACTTTTTTATTTTGAGGAGAAATGATGGGTGGCTCATATGCTGTAGCACTCTCGTTAAGTTTTTCAGGAGAAGACATCAATGAATCCACAGTATTTGTGGAGGAACGTAGAACTGCTGCTCCATCATCAATTAATAAGTCACCATTAGGGGCATTGCATTGTAGGTCCTTGGATACCCTATCTGGAGATGAAGGTTCTGAAGTAGATTCTTTTATGATTTTGCCAGGAGAGACCGCAGCAGAACTGATCTCTCCACAATCAGTGGGTAAAAGAGATGGTAACAGTGTTGGTGGCACAGAATATGGAGGTGGCAAATTTGTTCCACTGCTATTTTCTTGTAAAACAATTGAACGATGTGCTCTCCACATGTGTCTTATTAAACAACTTGTACCAAGGTCCTTTCCATTTTTCCCTCTGCTGAATTCATTCATGCAGTGAATACAAACAGCTTTTGAATTATCCAATGGAGATAAATAAAAGTGCTTCCAGACTGCAGAACGTCTTCTGGAACCAGATGAATTTTTCTGAATTGGAATACTTTTTTCTGTCAGGTTTTCCCCTGTATCATCACATTGGTTGTTAGGTAAAGACCCTGGAGAAATGACAGCAACATCCTCTTTGCTAATTTTATCTGAAATGGACAAGTCTGAAGACATCTCATCTGAGGATAAGACGGCAACTGAGTCTTCCACCAACTTTTCTGTGGGTGAAATTTTTGAAGACAGCTTCCTAATTTTTGTAGGAGTCGCAATCGTTTCCACAACATCTGGAGGCTGCGGAGGTAGAAGTAACGTAGGAGGAGAGTAGGATGATATACCTGGCATATTTTCATTATCAGAGACAAGGACTCTAGGGTGAGCCCTTCTTACGTGTCTCATGAGGCAACTTGTACTAAGGTCTTTTTCATTTTTTCCCCTGCTAAACTCTTTCATACAGTAATGGCATATTGCTTTGGTACTGTCCCGAGGAGAAATAAAAAAATGGTTCCAGGCTGGAGATTTTTTCCGATTGCTGATGTTCTTATTTGTAATGATGCTTTGCGTAACAGCCTCCATTGCAGCATCGTAGAGTGTAGTAGTATACTGGGAAAACAGGGCACCATAGTCATCGTCATTTTCATTGGACAAAAAGGTATTTGAATTTTCAGCACAGTGTTCTTTATCTTCATGTTCATCACTGCTTTCTGTTTGTTTCGGATCATCAGGTTCCATTTTTATGTGCACATTATCTAGGTCACAGTTTAAATCGTCTTCTTGTTCTTCTTTGACATTGCTCTTATCCGAAGAAAGGTTACTTTCCATCTCATCCATTTTAAAAAGTAAAGTTTAAAAAAAATAAAGGAAGAATGCTCATATGAAATTCCAATACACTTAACTAGGGGGAGAAATGCAAAGTTTCTGTGTTGCGGAGTGAGATTTCTTCAATGCTTAGCTGCTGTGAACAATACATATCTCCTACAAGTTTGGTGGAATGTTCTTGGCAGGGTAATGAATAAATTGACAGTTTCTACACCAGTACGATTACAGCCATCCTGAGAATTCTGAAGAAACCATCTAGTAAATAAAGAAAGTTGAAAAAAAAAAAAGTGTAAGAAGCATGTGATGTAGTTAAAGAGAAACACATTTTAACATCAAAATATTGCAACTGATACATAAAAATTTAAGCAGATCTATCAGTGTTTCATAAACAAATAGTCTTTATATGTTTAGTCTGGTTCTAAAAGATAGGCATGATTTGTTGCATCTCTTATTGTCCACATATATTATATGCATGACTTATAATATAAGTTGGTAGAAATTCAGGGCACTACAGCTGCAATGGACTTCACTACTATAGGCATGTGCTGAAAGGTGATTTCTCAACATTATGGTGATCTTGTCGAGCCATAAGGCAGACAATTCCAGAATTATAGTTCAATTTGAGTTTTAATGATTCTGGAGAAGATTGATCCTGTTTACCCAGTTAGATTTCTGATTGTCCTGCACATGTACACAAGGATGCCCAAGTAGCTCGTATTCATGTCTACAAAAACAATTTGCACAAAGGACAAAAAATGATCCATCACTACCACCACAGCTTATTATTGCAGAGTTAGTCCAATACTCATCACAGTAGGGCACGCAAGTCCTCACAGGTTGTTCAGGGGGTGAAAAATTACTAATCCTTTAAGGAAAATTATAGTGCCAGGAAAACAAAGCTGTCGTCCTGGCACTTTAGCTCCCTATGATGTCCCTCTCAGTTGCGGACCTCTTACGTGCTGCAGAAGGGATTAGAAACCTTTTCTGTGACTTTACTGATTCCAGCGCCAATGTCCCTTGGCGTTGGTTCAGGTTCCGCCTCTGCTCCTCTGATGTCGGCAATGGCTGTGCTCACATTAGGACTTCCTCTATAGAAAAGCATTACACAATGCTTTCCTTTGGGTTTCGGGTGACGCTGGAAGTCCTCATACATACCCGGAAGTCCCTCTAGTAGAGGGTTGGTAGATAGCCTAGCTAGGTAATTATTTCAGTTTCTTAAAAACTACAATATTTATCTGCCCAGGGTTAAGGGGACAGGGACACTGCACCCAGACCACTTCAATGAGCTGAAGTGCTCTGGGTGCCATATTGTCCCTTTAAATTAAATACTAAAAAAGAAAAACCCCTGATAATTGAATGCACTCCAACAAGAAAAACAAAAACTAGAAAAGCTAAAATTTCTGGGGAAACTGTGTGAAGTGTTCTTGCCTCCACCAGTAGTCTACAACTGGAGTGGGCGGAGTAACTGTTATCATTATATGGCACATTTAATTGCAACGTTGTTGCACAGTTACATTAAACCATACATTTATAAAAACATTAGCAGGTGTACAAAAGGCCCTGTCCATGACATCACTTGCTGCTCCAGCCCGGCACAGGTCAGAGTATTTTGGCGGTTGCCATCTTCAAACGGTCGTATTTTAAAAAACTATAAATCCTACAGCGAAGAGCTTTATATTGTGAGAATCACAAGACCCAGACCTACATTTTGATGCATAGTATGTCTCTGAAGTATTAAACATGTAGGCACCGTCGCAGTTTAGAAATTGCCCTTCAAATTTAAGCTGGCTGGAGTGGAGTTTCAATGAATGTCAATGGGCAGCGTGAGTTGCAAACACATGGTCATATCGTGAAAACTATCAGGACTATGGCTTAGCCGTGGACATTATTAGTGGCAGCAGGGATAGCTGAACGTTTTGATATATATTTTGTGTAGGTGGGCTTGAAAATGAGGGAGTGGTCCTGATTTTTCAGCTTTTGCCAGCTCCCACTCTAGTTTTGAACATTTTGCCATTCATTCCTATGGGACCAATTTCCCCACAAGAACAACGATATTCCGTGAACCATTCGGCGAAACGTTCCACAAAGTAATAGCAATCCGATCGAGAACAATCCGCACATTTCGGTATATTACTGTCTATGTAGTGTAAAAACTGTGGGAGGAGTTAGGGTGGTAAATTTGGCTATAATAAGAATAAGAACAATATATATGTGAGATAACATTAAGTGGTCTTGCTATGCAAGAACACTTAATAAAAGCATAAATCCTTTTTATTTATTAAGGGATTACAAAAAAGCAACGTGTTGGGCAAACCACATACTTAGTTAGCTGGAAAAATTTGTGTCGAATCTACAAGCTTTAAAAAAAAAAATTATATATATATATATATATATATATATATACATATACACACAAAACAAGGTATCCCTATATATTTCTCTTGACTTTTGTGTTTTGTCTTCATTAATTATTATTTTTTTCAATGCTGAGAATGTGTTCTTGTTGGGTTTTCTGAACACCAGACTCTGTTCCATGGAAGTGTGCAATCTCAATCTCTACTGGACAGCCATACTTGAAAGATTTGTGAAAGTCTTCAAATAAAAATGCATACGCATATGCACACACAAAAAATGTATGACAAATAACCCTAGAATTTATTTTTTATTTTTTTACAGGTGATGATCTGAGAGAAAAGATGGGAGGACAATAGCTCTGTACCCAGGGTCTAGTTCAGAACCATGCTGTCTCTACAGAGTGCTACATTCCGAAATAGTACCAAGAGCATGTGATGCCATTGCAGGTCTTTTCAGAGCAATTGGTCACGATTTTAGTCGAGGATATTCTTCTCTGTTGCCACACGATACAGAGGAAGACAGCTCTTACACCAACACCACAGATAGACCTCCAGTCCCCTCTCACTTCTCATTGTTGATAAGAAGCACTCAGAGAAGATGTGTGGAACTATCTTGACAGGAGGGCAAATGTTTGGTACTAGGTTCCGTTTTTGTGTCATTAAGATACCCTGGATTTATTGAATGTAGAAAATAATCCAGGCACTCCAAAGAAATGGCAGTTTTATTGGAACCAAGAACCAGAAAATGTTTCGACCCCTTAGGGCCTTTGTCAAGCTTGACAAAGCCCCTAAGGGGTCGAAACATTGTTTTCTGGTTCCTGGTTCCAATAAAACTGCCTATTCTTTGGAATTCTTTGGAGTGCCTGGATTATTTTCTACATTCAAACTTCATATTTAGTCCTTTTGGTACTGGGACTTATCCAGTGCAGCACCCAGGATTCCAGGACGAAGGGTTGAGTGCATTTCCACTACCTACATATGACCCTGGTTTTATCGAGCACAATATATAGTGTATTCAAATGTTATTTCCCCCCCCCCTTGCCTGAAGTGTACCAAAAAACCCAAAGTGGCAGGCATCACAAACGGTCAAAAGAATGAAAAAAAAAAAAAAAAAAACTCACTTGACTAAAGGACTCTGCATAAGCTCATCACAAATAGTAACCTGTCATATTGGTCCAAATGCAGCACCTGCAAGAATACAAGAAAAATAGTAGTATTAAAGGTTACCCATACGTACAGTATAAGGCAAAATGAACATATAAATGAAACAGACAATATGTGATTTCAAACCATCTCTAATGATGCACACTCACAGAAGTAACACTGATACAGCGATGTCATTGGATACAGGATTTGACAAAGCACGGTCACTTGAGATTTACGCTGCTCACACCCCTATAAGGTTTCTGCATTTTTTGTTCTGTCTCAACATGCACACCTGGGTTTCTCCATTTCACCATGATTACTCACTAATTCCCACCGTATTTACACTGCGCCTTCCCATCTGTTTCTTTTCTAAAATCTTATTTCAGCATTTCAAGCAGCACACACAGTCTAGATGCCAAACACCACAATCCTTAACTTACTCTCTGCTCTAATCACTGCCACAGAACCAAGCCCTTAGTTCACTGCTTTAATTACACAATATACAGTCTTTCGGACTACAAAGACTTCCATAGACACCATGCTTGGCAATTACAAAAAGCCTAACTGCTCATCAATTAACTGTCCATTAGCATGTAGCTCCTCTAATTAAGATTCAAACTAGGAACTACCAAAATCAATAATGCAATACCTGCCACCTACAACTTTCTACTAGAAAACTCGTGAGTTTGTGCATGATGCGTCATATCTTCACGCTTCCTGTTATAGCACTGAGATCTACCGCTTTTCAATCTACTTGCCTTATAAAATAAGCATGATGATTAAAAATAAATGAAATAAAAGCTTTTCAGTGAACACCCATTTATCAACGAAAGTGATTTACCTACTTTAATTATCACTAAAACAAAGAACTGGCTGATATTTGTCCTCCTGTAGTTTATATTGAAGAATTCAGGAGGATATACATATACATGATCAATACAGCTGATCACAGGCAAACAAATGCATCTTGGAGCATTTTCTCATTGATTAAAGAAAAACAGTCACAAAAAGTGACTAGAAGCCAGAGGGCAACTTTGAGCTGTATTTTATACAACACAAGTTATGTAATCATCACAATAACCAGGTCCTCTGAGCCACACTCACTGTTCCACTTTCAAACTGCTGTTCCAAGCAGCAAAAGTATTTGGAATTTGTATGACTGCACAGCAGCAAACAGGTCTCGGATTACCATGTGTTACGCCAAGCATAGGCTGGAGTGGAGTAATGTTTTAAGCAGTATGACTGTAGATTGCCGGAAGGGAGTTCATTGGAGAAATCCTGAATCAATAAATGGATGATAATCTGTTTGGCAGATGACTATATACAGAGCCTTTAATGGTTCAAGCTAGGCCCTAGTGTATCAGTGAAGGAGTATGACACTACAGCATGCGATGGCAAACTTAATTTCATTGACTACTTTAGTCTCCAACAGTAAAAACCACCAGGCTTATTCACTAGGACTGTCTGTAATTCAAAGTGCATTTCAAATCAAAAACAATGGAAAACATTAGCTGGCTTTGAGATTTGTTTTCAGTTTTTCACTTACTTTCAGCCCAACATTTGCAATTCACTTCGAATTCCCCCAGGTCACGTTTTAGTAAATTACTCTGTACAACAACCAAGGCATAGATCCGCTGCCCAGATTAATACCGCTTCCAAATAATCTCGAAATCTATAGATTTGTTTGTGATATTTCCAGGACTCAAAAGAAACAAGGAAAATACACTAAGAGGCAGACCTGTGACCCCCATAGAACACGTTTTCCAACTTTTAAAGATCTGCTTAATGGGCGTGCCTATCCAGTGGCTTACTTTGTTAAAGACATGAATGCACTGGCCAACCATACAGAGAAGATCCTTAGGCATTGTGTATATTAGTGAATACAAATGCAAATGGTGTAATTGTCCAAAAGGCCTTTAGGCACTGTCCGTCTTAGTGAACACATTCAATAAGAGGTTTACTTTGCCTGAGGATCTTCATTCTAAATGTCTGCAAAGTCCAAGGTCTCACCTTGTTGGAGCAATATATAGATCAACTACTGAACCAGATATTTCTGCACTTTACTAAACCATCAGAAATTCGACACTGTATCTGCAATTTACAACAGTCAGGGATATCTAAAAAAGGGAGAATTCCAAGAACATTTCAGCTATGCTTCCAGTTAGCCTACTCCGGCATTGTTACTCCAAGCAACATAACCACTACAGCAAAATGCGGCACATACAGATACTAGCCACCGTGACTACTTCAAAACCCTGACGTAGCCAATGTGCTTGAAATAACCCTTTAAATATGCATTTCACTTTGAATTCTCAATTTAGTAAATAACCCTGTGTGTTACTCACCAAGATAATTGATAAAAATAATCACAGTTCTGACAGACAGGCAGATATATTTAAGTTTATTTGGGATTTTTGCTCATCCTTTAGTTTTTTTCATTGCCCATACATTACACGTTTGTGTTCTAAATTCTGCATATTTTTGGATTACAGTGTTTTAAAAAGGCAAATTAAAGATAACTAAAGAATTTTGACTTATTATAAGCTGTGGAGATACATTGTCTAACAATCCCATATTAAATAATAATATTCCCAAAGGTAAATGGAGCAAGCGTACAAAGAGTAAAAAATCAGTTTGGAATGTATGAACAGTTCACTGCTCCTGAAGCAATGCAATATTCAATAAATACTTCAAACACTGCATATATTAAAAAAAAAAAAAAAAAGTTTACTTCTTTGGTACAAACCACATTTCATTCAGAAATTCAAGTTTGAAATTCTATCTTTATAGTGTATATCAGATAGTTGTGGTCTATGGTTCAACCAGATTAGCCCATGGGTTAGATTTCACTATTTGCACCTGACAGGGTTCATTACAAGGGTTTAAACTGCAAGCAATGTATTATGGGATAGTCAACTGGTAGGCCACCATCTCTCATGGCGCTTAGCCAAACTACAAGTTATAACCTTCCTTTAAATCAGAGGTTGACAAAAAGTCAACTACCTCTAACTGTTGTAGAACTAGAGGTTTAAAGGGACACTACAGGCATCAAAACAACTTCATCTAAATTAAGTTATGATGCCACAAGGCCCCCAGAGGTACTCATATCAAGTAAAATACTAACGGACAAAGAATCGAGCAATAAGACTGCAGAGGTATGATCTTACACCAAAACGGCTTCATTAAGCTAAAGTTACACTCCAGCTCTAAATTATTACCAAAATAATTATAAACACACACATACACACACGACGTGCCAGGACTGTCATGATAAAATTGTATTTAAACTTTGCCAAGAAGAGGTTGTGGAAAAACTTTTCTGATGAGATATGAAAGCTCATCCAACTGTCCAACTGCACCCAAAATCAACAGCTAAGCAGCAGGTAATATTAAGCAATCTGGACTAAATAAAATAAAAGAAAGGAAGTCAAGAAATCATACAGTTGTGGAATTTAGCAAGGTGAAGACCAAATATAATAAAAATGATGTAATAGGCCTCTTAAAACATGCCTGCGAGTACAACACAACCAGACAAACTTGACTAAGAGGACAAACTCCACTGAATAGGCAGAAGGACAACAAAGATAAAAAAATAAAAGATTAAAAGGGTAGTCATACAACCACCAGTTCATATGTAATGCTACTTTAGACCTTTGATAATTATACTACGGCTCTCAGAAGTTTCTGAAGCAAGTCCTAAGTTCATGTTTTGCCTTAGTACCTGCCTCTATTAAATGCAGTTAATAAAATCATAAACTAATTCTAGAATACATCACTCGCTCCCCACTTCAGCTTGTAAAGCAGTTTTACAGAAACTGCCCACACAATCACTTAACCCCTGAAAGCTAAACACAGGGTGGTAATTCACCTTATGTGATCTTTTTTGGACTAGCTGTGTCTGTTTCCCTGATAATCTCCCTCCCCACACACTTCCTGTTGCTTGGCATGTGTAGTTATCTTTGATAACCATGTACTTTTTGATAAAAAGAAAAACAACAAAAAAAACAAAAAAACTAACAAACACATTTCAGTCTACAATACTGGTGCGATCACACCTGCATCATTGTAGCAAACCTTTAGGATCGTAGAGTAACAAGCGGAATTCAATGCTTAACTTAAGAGAAGCTTTTGTTGAAAATGAAATGGTTCAAATTGTCTCTCCACCCCTTGCCTACTTATTTCCTTTCAGAAGATCTGGACAGTGATCCGGTGAAACATGAAGATGTGTCTTGAACAGTCTCGTCCTCCCCTCCTCCTCATACAAGAGGAACAATAGAGAAGACTGGCTCAAACCAAACTAAAGGGCTGAGCACATACCTGTGGTGGTCAATGGAAACTAGACAACCTGCTTGCAGGTTTTTTTGGTGTTATTAATGAGTAGGCAAACAAACGTTAAACTTTGTTCACTAGTCCACAAGTACTTCTACATGAACGGACAAAACATAAACAAGCTTACAATGCTCTTGTGGATCACAACTGAATATTTGCTGTTGTCAGATTCACGATAACAGCAAGTAAAATGTGTTTAACTGGTCTGACAAAGAGGATTCTCAGCGTGTGGTTTCAGAATACAAAACAAACAGTGACTGTGGGGTCATTTATGTTGCTGTTAATACATAGCCTGTAAAAATCAGCAGAAAGGCTCGCCAACCGTGGTGCACTGCCCGATTAGGACCTCCACAACCATTCTGTGAAATCTTGAAGTGAGCTGTATTCGTTAAACACAAAGAGAAATCCAGAAGCATTTTGACCCTGTATGAGTCTTATATTGACAAAGACCCCTATATAAGATGAAAACACGCTGCGACACTCACTGACAATTCTAAAAAGACCCTTAGTTTGACAATGTTTACTGTTCAAAAATATGCAACATACTCACGCCACGAATAGGATATTTAAACCTGAAGGCTTATTAGAATCCGCAACCTGCTGCAAAAATAAGGCTTTGCAAACCTGCCCTTTTATGCTCACCATGCCAGTAAACAATCTATAGACATTTAATCTGGAATACAACCAATGTAAATCAAAACATTGGCTAGATAATTATTAAAGCATTCAGATAAGCGATGTTTAAATCCCCTCATTATGTTGATCGCATTTAGTAAAGTGATCTAGAAAGTGACAATTTTCTTTGTAGTAAATTCTACCAGTTTCGCAGAAATTGTTATTTCAAATAACTGCCAAATTAATAATGGTGGGAAAATGCTATTGAAGCAAAAAATGACAGGAAGCAAAAAATGAAAGCAAGACAGAAAAAAAGTGACCGATTTAAAACATTAGATTTATAATCTCCCTACTGTTTATTGTAACCCTCTCCTAACTGGTCTTCCCAAAAACCGTATTGCCCCGCTACAGTCTGTAATGAATGCTGCCGCCAGACTGATTTTCCTCTGTAGTCGGTCCTCTCACACCTTTGTCAGTCCTTACATTGGCTTCCTGTATCCTATAGGAGTCAATTCAAAGTTCTAACCCATAGCTATAAAGCATTGAACAATTCTAGCCCCTCATATCTCATCACAGATCCGTAGGTATGCCCCCTTCTCGGTCTCTCCGCTCTGCCCGTGACCTTCTCCTGTCCACTGCTCGCACCCGTACGGCCAACTCACGCTTGCAGAACTTCTCGTGGGTGCCTCAAAACCCATCTCTTTAGGAAAACTTATGGCATGCCAAAGTAACCTCTACCTCACATACCTGTCTCTTGCTCTCTTATAAAGGGCAGCACTCTACGCTCTCCTTCAGCTCTGCTTCACTCCAACCTATTTTAATTGCTATTTACTGGACAATTGTGTTTAACAACCCACCCCCTGTAGACTGTAAGCTCATTTGAGCAGGGTCCTCCTCAACCAATCGTTCCTGTAAGTTTTCTTGTAATTGTCATATTTATAGCTTAATACCCCCTCTCATAATATTGTAAAGTGCTACATAATCTGTGGCGCTATATAAATGGCAATAATAATAATTTCAAATAATGGTGTAAAGTCTTGTACTCTATATTTTACAAATGAAGCTGTCCGCTACATATATCCAAAAGAGTGATTGGCGAATGCAGAACACACATTCTACAACAGTTCTATCCATCTTATTCAATTCATAATTAAAGGGACACTATAGTCACCTGAACAACTTTAGCTTAATTAAGCAGTTTTGGTGTATAGAACATGCCCCTGCAGCCTCACTGCTCAATCCTCTGCCATTTAGGAGTTAAATCCCTTTGTTTATGAACCCTAGTCACACCTCCCTGCATGTGACTTGCACAGCCTTCCATAAACACTTCCTGTAAAGAGAGCCCTATTTAGGCTTTCTTTATTGCAAGTTCTGTTTAATTAAGATTTTCTTATCCCCTGCTATGTTAATAGCTTGCTAGACCCTGCAAGAGCCTCCTGTATGTGATTAAAGTTCAATTTAGAGATTGAGATACAATTATTTAAGGTAAATTACATCTGTTTGAAAGTGAAACCAGTTTTTTTTTCATGCAGGCTCTGTCAATCATAGCCAGGGGAGGTGTGGCTAGGGCTGCATAAACAGAAACAAAGTGATTTAACTCCTAAATGACAGTGAATTGAGCAGTGAAATTGCAGGGGAATGATCAATACACTAAAACTGCTTTATTTAGCTTAAGTAATTTAGGTGCCTATAGTGTTCTTTTAATAGAATATGTTTTTATTTTACCACCACATAGGATGTTTAATAAGGAGAAGAGACCGCCCAAATACTGCAAATGTGACTTGGTTAAAGGCACAAACATTGCAGAGAACTAGCCATAGTGGATGGAGTTTTAAAATTACACTGCCGTAGACTAGCCATAGCGGAGTGTTATAATCACACTAGAATAAGTAAAGGTGAATAATATAATTATATAATTTGATGTTTGCATTTGTTAAATTAGAAAGATCATGGCTTAGATATAGTTCTTCTACAGTCCTTAGATGTGGTTCCATCTTATTTCACTGAAGTTATTTGAACTAAATTAAAACAAGTTGGCAGTTCAAGATTAGGTATAAATTTGGGTCTAAATTTAAGGTCCAATGTTTTCAGCAAATGGGTGGATCCTGTTCATAGTAGTTTAGCATATTTAGAACTCAGACAAAATGAAACATACTCTATTTACCTGCATGTACTTATGTACAATACTGCACCTGACATGTTGCATTAATACCCTTACATTGTATCTATAGGATAGAGGTAGAGTGAAGGCACTACTGGGAGTGACAATACGGTCCATGTCCCTTTCAATTCTATTCACATTCAAATGGGTGTGCAGTGTGCACAGTTACCATTACTGTACCCGTACTACTTGGGCATCATAAAGACGCAAGGCCAGAAGTTAACTATTACCCATTTTAGGGTGGCTAAAGCCATCATGTGTTCATGAACACACAATCTTCTTCAGGCTAACGGAAAGCACATGACAAATGCTTCAATCTAGTATGTAGCAATCATATGCTACCGTGAAATTAACTCATGGAGGCAGTTTGGTTTGGGTTTGATTCCCCCCTGCAGCATATTATTATGTATAGCTGCCAACATATGCCGTAGAGTTGTACAATTTGAGGATCCTTATCATAGGCGTAAAGCCCATTTGCAGCACTTTCATAGGAAGTGGCAAGCATGATGGCTCACGAGCTTACAATCTAAACGCAATACAGGAGAGTGTAGACAAGAATCTTACTCAGTCTGATGGAAAGCACATGCTAAATGCTGCAATCTAACATGTAGCAATCATATGCTACAAGGAAAACCACTAAACCGTACAGGCAGTTTATTTTGGGTTTGATTCCCCTGCAGCATATTAATGTTTATAACTGGCAACATATTCTGTAGCGCTGTACACTGTGAAGATCATTACCATGGGAGTTAATCCTAGAGGGACCTGGCACCCAGACCACTTCATTAAGCTGAAGTGGTCTGGGTGCCTAGAGTGGTCCTTTAACCCATGGAGAGATTACATTCTGCAGCATATTATCATTGCCAACATATTCCATACCACTGTACGCGGCGAAGATCCTTACCACTTGCTGCACTTTCATAGGAAGTGGCTATCATGCTGGCCCATGAGCTTACAATCTAAAGGTAATAACTGAGAGTGGAGAGAACAATCTTCCTCAGGGAAATGGAAAGCACATGACAAATGCTACAGTGTAGTATGCAGCACGCATATGCTGCAGGAAAAACCCATAGTAAGTGGCTAGCATGTTGGCCCATGAGCTTACAATCTAAAGGTAATACTGGTGAGTTGAGAGAACAATCTTCTACAGGCAGATGGAAAGCACACGACAAATACTACAGTGTAGTGTGTAGCAATCACATGCTGCAGGTAGACCGATGGTAAGTGTCTGGCATGTTGGCCCATGAGCTTACGATCTAGAGGTATTATGGGGGGGGGAGGGGGGATCTCTCCCCGGGGGAGGGCTGGGCAGGGCAGCATGGTGGGCCGGGGATCATGCTCTGTGGGGAGCAGGGCTGCTGACATGCTGTGTGGCTGTATGGAGGATACAGGCCTCTGCCCACCTCAAACCGGAACTGGAGCCTCCCGGGGGCAGTGCGATAACCCACGAACCCGCTCCCGGTCCGTCCCGGCCCCCGCACTCACCTGGTCAGCCGGGGGGTCACCGCCGCCGCATGCCCTCACCGCCGCCGCCGCTCTCCCCCCCATTCATCGGGTCAGCGCTCGCTTTGTCTGCCCTCCCGTCCCCGCTCAGTCCGACCAGCTCGCTGAACACGGGGGGCGGGGCCTGCGCGGCACTGCTGCTCACACGTCACGGAGTCAAAGGTCCTCAAAATGGCCGCCCCCAGTGTCTCCCCCACCTCGCCTGCTCACAGGGCCTGAGGCCGGACCAAGGAATGGAGGCCATGGGGCCAGAGGTGGGTCCCCACACCCACAGACACGGCTTTACCTGGGCCCTGGCTCTCTAAAGGGGGGGAGCCCAGAAATAAAGGTTTCTCCCTGCCTGGGTTTGGGAGGGATGGGATTTAGCTATTCTCTCTCTGCCTGGGTTTGGGAGGGATGGTATTTAGATATTCTCTCTCTGCTGGGTTTGGGAGGGATGGTATTTAGCTATTCTCTCTCTGGGTTTGGGAGGGATGGTATTTAGCTATTCTCTCTCTGTCTGGGTTTGGGAGGGATGGTATTTAGCTATTCTCTCTCTGGGGGGAGGGATGGTATTTAGCTATTCTCTCTCTGTCTGGGTTTGGGAGGGATGGTATTTAGCTATTCTCTCTCTGTCTGGGTTTGGGAGGGATGGTATTTAGCTATTCTCTCTCTGCCTGGGTTTGGGAGGGATGGTATTTAGCTATTCTCTCTCTGCTGGGTTTGGGAGGGATGGTATTTAGCTATTCTCTCTCTGTCTGGGTTTGGGAGGGATGGTATTTAGCTATTCTCTCTCTGCCTGGGTTTGGGAGGGATGGTATTTAGCTATTCTCTCTCTGCCTGGGTTTGGGAGGGATGGTGTTTAGCTATTCTCTCACTGCCTGGGTTTGGGAGGGATGGTGTTTAGCTATTCTCTCCCTGCCTGGGTTTGGGAGGGATGGGATTTAGCTATTCTCTCTCTGCCTGGGTTTGGGAGGGATGGGATTTAGCTATTCTCTCTCTGCCTGGGTTTGGGAGGGATGGGATTTAGCTATTCTCTCTCTGCCTGGGTTTGGGAGGGATGGGATTTAGCTATTCTCTCCCTGCCTGGGTTTGGGAGGGATGGGATTTAGCTATTCTCTCTCTGTCTGGGTTTGGGAGGGATGGTATTTAGCTATTCTCTCTCTGTCTGGGTTTGGGAGGGATGGTATTTAGCTATTCTCTCTCTGCCTGGGTTTGGGAGGGATGGTATTTAGCTATTCTCTCTCTGTCTGGGAGGGATGGTATTTAGCTATTCTCTCTCTGTCTGGGAGGGATGGTATTTAGCTATTCTCTCTGCCTGGGTTTGGGAGGGATGGTATTTAGCTATTCTCTCTCTGCCTGGGTTTGGGAGGGATGGTATTTAGCTATTCTCTCTCTGGGTTTGGGAGGGATGGTATTTAGCTATTTTCTCTCTGCCTGGGTTTGGGAGGGATGGTATTTAGCTATTTTCTCTGCCTGGGTTTGGTAAGGATGGTATTTAGCTATTTTAACTGACCTCATTGCAGCTGGTGTTTATTTAGGCTCTGTACATTTTACAGATCAAGAAATGCATTAAGTAATTAATTGTACTGTTTATTGTAAAGCAACAATACTCAGACACTTACTGTTTTAAATTTCAAGCAGGTTTATTGGAACATCCAGGTGCACAGCAACGTTTCGACCAGGTCTTTGTCAAGATTGAGTAATAAGTAGCTGAGTATTTTTGCTTTACATTATGTGGGGAGTGCTGACCCTTACTCGGTGAGCACCCCGTTTTTTGGTCGACTCCAGCCCTCACTCAATCTTACACTGTACTGTTTTTATTAACCTTATTTTTTTTTTTATGTACATATAAAATGTTCAAATATTACCTCCCTGTTAAACAGACTTATTCAGATAAGTTTATCCCCTCCCCCACCTTCATCATGCAAGTAGACATATCAGTTGTTGCACTAAGTTGGCTAGCTTTGGGAAAATCAATTATGCAACTAGAATCTTAACATTTGTTTCAGTTTCTTTTCTCAACAGAAAATTATCTTCAGGAATCCAAAGGCCCAAGCTAGTAGAAATTCCTATATATTCCAGCACTGTACATGTGCTTGCTTTGTGGTGCATGTTTTTCCAGCTCCAATATGCAAGCTTCAATATTTTTCCTTAGGAAGTTTTGACATCTACTGTGCACATATGTGAGTGTGATTTAATGATTGCCGCATGGTGTTTCCAAAAATGTATATGGTAATACACTGATTAGCACATGTTTGGTTAGCTCTTCCTTTTAATCCACCCCAGAACGAATCAATCTGCCCAGTATTTACCTATGGACCTTAATTATTGAACAAGACTCCAGAGGTAATCCTAGGCACGTAATTAGTTTGGGTGTGGATTAAAAGCAATTTTACTTGGATGAAGTCGCTCAATCACATTTATACACAAGTCTAATACCCCCGCACTTTCTGGCCGCAGAGGGATAGGGAAGGGTGCTTACCAGTCCCCAGGTAAAAAGTGAAACCATTAGAAAGCAGTTTGCCTATTTACATTGGATGGTTGCCAGGACACTCTTGACACCATAACTACTACAGTGTGCTGTAGTTGTTCCAGTGCATGGAGTATTTTATTAAAAATGAAGGGGTCTGGTGTGTACCTCCTAATGATTTGTACACACTTTGTAAAGATATGGCCACTTTGGGGTTAGTATTTTGGGCTGAGTTGTGCACTTTTGAAGTTAAAATTAGTTAAATTTTACTGGTTTCTTTCATTCTATTAACAGTAACAACCCCTGCATGTTGGGCTAAGGTAACATCCCCAGGACGTACTTGAAAACCAGAATAATCTGAATGTACCTTTCCTGGTTAAATACTTTATTATATTCAAAGTTATCATGTCTCACACACCATTTCTTTCAAGGTTGCATAAATCAATTAACTCACACAAAAATTGGGAATTATTTCTGGAATTTGTATTCTGAATTCCTATGGACCCTTCAGCCACTTAACTTTCTCCAGAGCCAGGCTCCCTCGGCGCTGGGGAACTCTCATCCTCCTGCCGACATCAGCGCCATTCAAACTGCCCGTAGGAAAGCATTTCTCAATGCATTCCTATGGACGTCCAGCGTCTTAGTGAGAAGCGTGGAAGCGCCTCTAGTGGCTGTCAGTGAGACAGTCACTAGAGGCTGGATTAACCCTCAGTGAAACATGCTGCATGGTTAACACTAGATGGACCTGGCACCCAGACCACTTAATTGAGCTGAAGTGGTCTGGGTGCCTATAGGGGTCCTTTTTAGGAAGTGGGTAGCCATCCAGTTAGAAATAGCAGAAAGGCAATTAGAGACACTAGTCAAGAGGGGCGGGGAGAGATCAGGGGAGGAGAGATAGATTTGCATGTCATCCGCATAGAAGAGATATTGGAAGTCAAAGGAGACAGTATAGATCGAGAACAGTAGTGGACCAAGGAGTGAACTTTGGGATACACCAACACAGAGGGTGGGAGGAAGAGGCAGAGCCAAAGAAAGAGACACTAAAAGAGTGCTGGGCAAGGTAGGAGGAGCACCAGGAGGGAGCAATAGCTCGTAGACAGAGATTACGGAGGATGAGAAGAAGCGGTTTATGATCAACAGTATCGAGAGCAGTGGAAAGGTCAAGGAGAATTAGGAGTAGTGACCATGAGATTTTGCAGCGAGTAGATCGTTTGATACTTTGGTCAGAGCCGTTTCCACAGAGTACTTAGCTCGGAAACCAGACTGAAGTGGGTCGAGCAGAGAGTTGGACTTGAGGAAGTCTGTCAATCTCGCATACACAAATCTTTCAAGGATCTTGGACGCAAAAGGCAGTAGCGAGATAGGGTGGTAGTTGGACAAGGAGTTGGGGTCAAGGTTGGGCTTTAAGGTCCCATGTTACCAAATGCATTATCTCATTGTTTACTAAACACTGTAGAAAAATTCCAAAAATCATAACCACGACAATTCTGTCATCCTCCCAAAGCAGTCAAACCGTTTAAGAGTGGTTTGACAACTTACCCGGGCCCTGTGAAGGGGCACTATGTGCGATGTGTGGATTTATTGGGTTGCTAATATAAAGCAGTGAGAAAAAAAACAAAAGCAATGGGCTTGAGAGTCTTTAAACACAATCCATGATATGAGAATTCCAATGTAGAAACTCTTTATAAACCGCAAAGGTTCATTCTTTTGTGGTCCTGTAGTGCACACTACGACAATGGCAGGGACATCGGAGAAATATCTCGGCATGGTCTCTGCTTCCTAAACAGACTTAGCTGTTGCCGCCCAGAAGAATAAGTGGCAGTGAGAGTGTCTTTCTAAAAGCAGCAGGATAGCCAGTCCACACAAATCATCAGGGGAACAGAGGGCCAGAACAACTTCATCCTACAGGCACCAGAACAGTGACACAGGTCAGCAATGGATCAGGTATGGCATAAAATACCCTTGGATTTTGCTGCCTGGCTGACACTAGCAGGTATAGGTTACATTATAGTATAGTCATAGTAGTCGTTATTTTATGATAAAGGTTATCCTTTATTTGCTCATAAATGAAACAATATTGTCATTAGGTGAGATGAGCATGGCTCTCTTAGGAATAAAGAAGATTGGAATTACTAGTGTCTCTCTAAGTAGTGTGTAGTAGTGTGTGTATATAATATATATTCTCCCATTTCCCCTGTGTGTAACTTCTTATTGTCAGCCACAATTATTTCCCATGTTCCAATTTTAGTTACCTTGTGTGTTTTAGCAATGCTATAGCCAGTAGAACTGTCAAGAAGCGATAAGGTAACCAGAATCTATGATTATTATTCTGCCAGGTGGGACATATTTCTGATCACTAACATCTGTTACTTTTCTGGTGTTCATGGACATATAGCAACCCTATAGGGTGGGTTTTTGAGAATGGTTTAATTCCGTATATGTGGGGAGGGGCCATAAAAATGTACCCTTGGGCTGAAGACCCTGATTATTTTGTCACTTAGGAATCCCCCCTCCCCCATCTCAGATTCCTTTTCTTGTTATCTCTTTCACTGTCTGTCAATCAGACCTATGTCCCTTCTCTCTAGCTTCATATTAGTTATAATCCCATCTCGTCTCTCTTTAAATTCTCTTTATTTCCAGGTCTGTCAGTCTTTCATTCTGTTTTAGCCTAAGAATAGACCCAGAAAATAAAAACGATGAGGGATATCGTCACAAACTGGTAATAATATATACATTACTAGTTATTTTCCAGTTTACCAGTCTCTCTCTAGTCATAGTGAAATCCTATTTCCTATATTTTCTTAGATTTTTGTCTCTTGGTTTTTGTCCCATTTTTAGATTGTAAATTAGTTTTGGGTAGAGCCCCCTTCACTTACTATGCCATTATTAGTATTAGTATTATTATATAGCGCCATCAGATTCCGTAGCGCTGTACAAAGGGACATATGGCAAACTTGTTTTGACAGAATTAATCTTTTATCTTGGTTTGTTTATTGTACAGCGTTCTGAAATATACAATAAACGGGAGTTAGAGAGTATAAGAAGGCAGGGAATGTAAATTATGTAGAGGGCCAAGGAATAGTAAGTTGGTTTTGAGGATTCCGAATGTGGTTAATACTACTGAAATTACCTCAATTTATATAAAAATACATAAAAGGGTATCAGAGCAACATTTGACTCTCTGTTTTATTTTTAATTATTAAAAAATTATGATAAAATGTTATTTTGTACCATCTTGGAGTTTCATACAGAAATTGAACAATGATTTATATCATTAGCTTATCCCTGTCCAAACGAAGTATAATAAATACAGTAAAATATTAAAACAAAATTTCACCAGATGTTATCCTATACCGACCCAACACCAGTTTTTGAAAGAGCAAGTTTTCTGCTTTGAAACAAGTGGTCTCATGCTGATCGTTGAATTTGTTGGGATTGGGAATCTTCTCTGTGATTGTGTTATTTATGCATATTACGTTATTAGGAGATCATGTCTGATATTGTGATTGCACGGTGGCTATCTTAGCTAGCATATATCTCACAATCTTGATATTACATTCTCACCTTCAGTTTTATTATCCAGTTGCCAGGACTACATTGTGGATATTGATGCTCAGATCAGTTCACCAAGAGAGAATTGTATTCCTGCTTTATAGCATTTTCTTTACCCATCCTTGGCCATGCCTCCTATTAAACTAACCACTGCTTTTCTTTTTCTAACCCAGAATCTAGTTTATAGTCAATCTAGCAGAATAACCTATGCAATTAGGGGGTGATCTAGTTGACTGAGAAGCTATTTTGTGTGAAGGATTGTTTTTACCTAGATGTTGGTCAAAAGGGAAAATAATAAAAAAAATAAAAAAAAGTCCCTCCTTGTGGACACAATTGAGACTTTTTTTCTCCTCCTTGTTACACTTCACTAGGGAGTAAAATTCTGTATTTCTTCTGGCACCTTTTGATCATGATGGCCGTAAATGTAAGATTGTACATCCGGCTCAATTATTATTTTTTTTTCCCCCTCTTATTAAGATATAGCTAAAAACAGCTTGCAAAAGCTGCAGATCTCTTGTCTGCTGCTTTTGCAAACCCTCCCCTTCTAACCCCAGTCAGACTTTCTGTGGCTGTCCAATCATAGACTTTCCAATGCAGCTCCATGAGAAGTCTTTGCAAGGCAGATGCTCTGGGCAATTGCTGCCTCTTGAGTTCAGTGCATCTAAGCTAAACAAACCAGGAATTAACAGGACCAGTTGTCCAATTGACAGCCAGGCGGTGTATCCAAATTAATTTATAAAATTGCAAATTTCTATTCAAATCAGCACTTTTATCTGAGCAATCTCTGAATCTTGGGTTTATCTCCCCTGAGCAAAACAACCAGGAAGTAACAGGACTTGTCTATGTAAATCTGCACTGTGATTGCCTGACATCACTGTAGGATCTCTTTAAGTGCTTTATGGGTCTGGAGTGTCTCCTGAAATCATCACTGTATGCATGTTATCTGCTTTGCCAGTAATCTGCAATGTATCATTCTTTGGGTGGCTTTTTCTTGGCTGGCTGTGTGAGCTTAATCTCTGTATCTACCGTACTTTATCTTCGGCTGTCCCCATGCTGTCCTTCGTGTGCCAATATAGGTCGTTGCTTACATGTGACAATTAAGTTCCCCCTTATAGACTTAAGGAGCTAAAACCATATTCGCTCAACTTCCTCTGTGGGTAAGGGGCAATTGTATAAGTAGTATGCTTGCATCTTGGTCTCCAGTAATTCCTATGACAATGTTTCCCACCAACTATGTATGTAGAATTGGCAAGACATTAAAATGAAACTGTTATCCATAAATCATTCACAACATTAAAACCACTGACAAGTAACGTGAATAACATTGATTATATTGTTATAATGGCACCTGTCAAGGGATGGGCTCTATTAGGCAGCAAGTGAACAGTCAGTTCTTGAGTTTTGTGTGTTGGGCAAATGAAAACCTCTGAGTGACTTTGACATGGGTGAAATAGTGATAACTAGACCAACATCTAGGTCAGAGCATCTCCAAAAGGGCAAGCCTTGTAGGATGTTCTTGGTATGCAGCGGTAAGAACCTACCACAAGTAGCGCATGGTAAGAGAACCGGTGACTTCATTCTGCATATATTGCAGCTGAGAATGCAGTCACTTTGACCAAATCGTAAACTGACATGCCACAATACAGATTCTATGGACCTCCACTTTTGTAGTCCGATACTTTGCCCATATCATGTTTTAGTTTTTTCATCCAGGACCTTTGTTGTATTGTTTATATTAACTATTGTACAAAACATTTGGCGTATTTCACAAACCCTTTCAAGATAACATATCCACTTGCATCATTTCACCAATGGGGAAGAGTGATCTATTTACCTTAAATCTCCCTCTGCAAAATCATCTTCCCCATTACATCCATCTCCTGGCCCTGGTACATGATGTGAATGAGATAATTGATATTTGAATAGTTTAGATGAGATGCGTTTTGTTAAACGTTTGTCCCTGTTGGGAAAAAAAAAAAAAGTTAACGTTTACCTGTCTAATCCAGTTATTGACCGAGTATAAAACAAAATAAATAAACCACCTATACATTTTCTTGCACAACGCTTCCCACCTGTAAATCATTTCTCGGCAAGAAGTCTGCCCTCCTACTCTGTCATTGACTTCTAGTTCTTGTGGAGTGAATATAGTAACAGACTGCGGTCACTCCCTCTGTTCTAACTGACTTGGTGGCAATAAAACCAATTTATCTGTCTAATGGAAAAGCATTGTCTTCCTTTGGAAATGTCCTTAAGTAAGGCTGACCACATCCAAAAGGGGCAAGAGCAAGGCAATACCGGAGTGTGGCTGTTTTATGACTGTGCTAGCATGCTGAAGAATGTGTAATGAAAAAAGCACAAGGTCCTAAAGCTTTCCCCCTCTCTCTTATCTACAATAAAGGATGTGTTTGAAATTATTTGTTTTGATATTTCGTTTGACTGTATGTGTCACTGGGGTTATTTCATGGGTCTGGTGTTCTGAATCGCTGATTATATATAATAAAGTTTAACAATACAATAACTGCATACTTATATATTTGGAAAAACTCAAAAACAAAAAAATATTTGAAACAATAATTGCATACTAAACCCATACATATAAACATATTTAATTGTTTTTATAAGTTTTTTTTTTTTAAGCTGTGTTCCTATGCCCCTTCTTCTATTGTGCAATGTGTAATATGGCTTTTATGTGCAGCTCATATGTACATGAGAGGATTTTATATGCAGCAGGAGAACTTTGTATTCATCAAGGTTGCCCAAAAGGTAGATCTCCAGATTTTGTAGAACTACAGCTCCCATTAAACTTTGTGTGTCTTTAGAATGACAAAGCATCATGGAAGCTTTAGTTTAAAAACATTTGGGGATTTACCTTTTTGGGACCCCTACAATACATGTACCAACAGCTCTATATTTGGCTGCAATGTCCATGGAATGTATACACGTTCTTTTGCGGTAAAGTGTGCAATGTAACACATTGACGTTTTTTTTTGTCGTCCTGGTGGCCACTAGTATAGCAGTAGGCAACCTTTGGCACTCCAGATGTTGTAGACCACATCTCCCATGATGCTTTGCTAGCAGTATGGCTTTAAAAGCATTATGGGAGATGTAGTGTGTAACAATACATCCTCACAGTCACCATTGACCCTTTAATGCGTTACGAGAGTACATTGAGCGTGCCGTAATGGCTATACCATGAAAGCCTTGGATTCAGGTGATTTGCCGTACGAACCATTTGCGCAAGCGCGTCTCGTCTCCGCTGAGTTGGATTGGAGATGGCGGTGGCGGCGTTGGTTAATTTAACGTAACGCGTTTAAACGTGAAATTGACTTTGAATTCGCAGCGATGCCCCCTTCAGTAAGACCCCCAGGGCGGCGTGTTGGATACAGTGAGATTTATTGGGAATTTCACGTTTAGTTTTTTCACTCTGACCCTTTTAGTGACCCAGGGAGGGGGCTGTGATCAGGGCTGGCTGGAAGCAGCCGTTGTGTTTTTGTTTTGTTTTTTACCCGCGGGAGAGGCGATAATTCGCGGCTATTCACAGCCCCGCGAACTGCCTGGTTTGTTTACAGCTTCCCGTCCTCCCTCGCGTCGCCATGGTAACCAGTCCCCCCTCCCCTATCGGCCAGCCCAGCAGCGCCGCGCTCCTGCCTCACCTATCATGGCGGCGCGACGCGGCCGTGACGTCACGACGTGCCACTCGGCGGAGCAGAGGAGAGAGGGGGGGGCGGCGGCACGCGCTCGGCTGCTCTAACCGCATTGTTTGTTTGAAAGGCGGAATCCGGGCCGAGCTGCGGCGGCCGCGAGGACTCTCCGGGAGAGGGAGGGGCAGGAGGGAGCCGTGCAGGCAGCGAGCTAGCGGGGCCGGGGCTCGTTCCCTCACAGGGAGGGTCGGAGAGCCATCGGCCGCCATTAGCGGATTCCCCGTCCTGTCAGCCGCTCCCAGCCCCGCGCGGGGGAGGTAAGGCCCTGCTCGCCGTGTCTGTCCGTGTCTGTGTGTCCCGGGGAGGGAGGGAGGGGGGTCGGCCGCTCTGTGTCTGTCTGTATCTCTGTCTGTGTGTGAGGGCTTTGTGAGGCAGTTGTTTTGTCAGGCGCCATGTTTGGCAGGGAGCCCGGCTGGGGGAGGGGGCCGCGCTAAGCGGGGGGCTCGGGGGGGCCCTTACCCAGCTCCCTGGAAGGGCCACCCATTGATTTGAACGGGCCCGGGAAAGTGGTGCAGTGACGTCATGGGGGCGAGAGAGGGGGAGTGGGGGGGGGGGGGGGTTACACATTAACCCCCAAACTACCGGGGGGCAACCCGTGACTGGCACCAGAGACCTTCACTGACTGCCACAAACTCAGGGCATCTACCTACCTCCACAGACAGCTAACTACACCCCTACCTAACTCCACAGACAGCTAACCTACTAACTACACCCCTAACTACCTCCACAGACAGCTAACTACACCCCTAACTACCTCCACAGACGGCTAACTACACCCCTACCTACCTCCACACACAGCTAACCTGCTAACTACACCCCTACCTACCTCCACAGACAGCCAACCTGCTAACTACACCCCTACCTACCTCCACAGACAGCAACTACACCCCTACCTCCACACACAGCTAACCTGCTAACTACACCCCTACCTACCTCCACAGACAGCTAAACTACTGACTACACCCCTACCTACCTCCACAGACAGCTAACTACACCCCTACCTACCTCCACACACAGCTAACCTGCTAACTACACCCTACCTACCTCCACAGACAGCTAACCTACTAACTACACCCCTACCTACCTCCACAGACAGCTAACTATACCCCTACCTACCTCCACACACAGCTAACCTGCTAACTACACCCCTACCTACCTCCACAGACAGCCAACCTGCTAACTACACCCCTACCTACCTCCACAGACAGCTAAACTACTGACTACACCCCTACCTACCTCCACAGACAGCTAAACTACTGACTACACCCCTACCTACCTCCACAGACAGCTAAACTAACTACACCCCTACCTACCTCCACAGACAGCTAACTACACCCCTACCTACCTCCACAGACAGCTAACTACACCCCTACCTACCTCCACAGACAGCTAACTACACACCTACCTCCACAGACAGCTAACCTACTAACTACACCCCTACCTACCTCCACAGACAGCTAACCTACTAACTACACCCCTACCTACCTCCACAGACAGCTAACCTACTAACTACACCCCTACCTACCTCCACAGACAGCTAACCTACTAACTACACCCCTACCTACCTCCACAGACAGCTAACCTACTAACTACACCCCTACCTACCTCCAGACAGCTAACCTACTAACTACACCCTACCTACCTCCACAGACAGCTAACCTACTAACTACACCCCTACCTACCTCCACAGACAGCTAACTACACCCATAGCCACCTCTACAGACAGCTAACCTACCAACTACACCCATGCATACCTCCACAGTCAGCTAACCTACCAACTACACCCATGCATACCTCCACAGTCAGCTAACCTACCAACTACACCCATGCATACCTCCACAGTCAGCTAACCTACCAACTACACCCATATACCTCCACAGTCAGCTAACCTACTAACTACACCCCTACCTACCTCCACAGACAGCTAACCTACTAACTACACCCCTACCTACCTCCACAGACAGCTAACCTACTAACTACACCCCTACCTACCTCCACAGACAGCTAACCTACTAACTACACCCCTACCTACCTCCACAGACAGCTAACCTACTAACTACACCCCTACCTACCTCCACAGACAGCTAACCTACTAACTACACCCCTACCTACCTCCACAGACAGCTAACTACACCCATAGCCACCTCTACAGACAGCTAACCTACCAACTACACCCATGCATACCTCCACAGTCAGCTAACCTACCAACTACACCCATGCATACCTCCACAGTCAGCTAACCTACCAACTACACCCATGCATACCTCCACAGTCAGCTAACCTACCAACTACACCCATGCATACCTCCACAGTCAGCTAACCTACTAACTACACCCATACCTACCTCCACAGACAGCTAAATTACTAACTACACTCCTACCTACCTCCACAGGCCGCTAACTACACCCATACCTACCTCCACAGACAGCTAAACTACTAACTACACCCATACCTACCTCCACAGACAGCTAAACTACTAACTACACCCATAGCCACCTCTACAGGCAGCTAAACTACTAACTACACCCATACCTACTTCCACAGACTGCTAACTACCCATGGTGTACACAGAGAGCTAACCTGCTGATACCAATACCTACCTACACAGACCGCTAACTACAGCCATAATACCTACACAGGCAGCTGAACTACTAACTATATCCATGTTTGCTAGCTACCTACACAAGCTGCTAAATTAACCATACCCATGGTTTGATGTTGATATAGCTACACGGAGAGCTAATTGACTGTAACGAATTATCCTTGGTGTGATCTCTAGCTACACATATAGCTAAACTCCTAATGCTCTCTGTATGTCTCTTTGTATCTTTATGTATGCAATTACACTTGTCAGAGGGTGACAATAATTAGTTCCTGCCTGATTATAGTATGGGATTATTTATTTAGATTATAGTATGGGATTATTCTGTATATGTGTCTAAGTGTGTTAAATACTTGATTTTAAAAGCCACTGAGGAGTCATTTGCACCAGAAACGGTCACTCACCTGTTCTTTAACAGGTATGGGCTCAGAACAATAAAAGAGAACTCACACAGACATGGTTAGTTTACATGGGGGGAGGGGTGTTTCTGCTTTCTAACTTCATCCACTTCAAAGCTAAATCTGGTTACCTACTTTCAGTGATTGCTATTCATCTTTCTAAACAGTTTGCATAACTTTCCTGTATAATTCAATCTTCACTGGAATTGTGTAACCAATATCTTGTAAGTTATATCAAGAGAAACTGCTAAAACTCTGCTTGTTATTGTGATAGCCTTTCGGAGGAAAAAAAAAAAAATCATGCTGATGGGGAAGAGCGAGTGTTTCATGTGCACTTTGTTCACACAAACCACAGAAACCAGTTCCCTACATCAATCTGTCCTGTGCCACCCTCCCCCTTTCCTTTACTTACATCTTCCTAAACCACTGCTTTGCATGTAGATTGCACGCTTGGGCACTCACTGTGAGATTGACTCCCCTCTGGGAAGTTAAAGGAGGAACTGCTGGAGGAGGGAATAATGTATGATCCACCTTTTCATAGTGAAATTACGTGGGTGGTTGTGATTTATTTCTTTTTATTGTGGCTCATATTGCGTCTGTAACTGTGTTTAGTAATCGTCTTAGTACTTTAACTCTTTTTACTTTTTGTTTTGAAGTACAATATCGAAAGCTGAAAACTCCATCTTGCAGTGTCCTTTTAATTGAATTTAAGGGGTTTCCTTGTACAGTTTGTAGTATTGTCCTGCACCATGTGCCAGTCTGTCAGCTTTAGGGGGTGTGTATAAATGTGCACAATTGGTGCTTGTAAACATCTAGCAGCAGAGGAGCAGACCTGACATATTTAGTAAAGTCGTAGAAAGTAGTGTTTTGTTTTTTTCTTAAGGAAGTTTGTGTTATGCAAGATTTCTTGTCAGAAACACAAACTGTTTTTTTTTTGTTTTGTTTTTTTATTACTCTTCCACCCCCATTGCCATCTGGCTTTCTTGTAAGATTGCTAGACCTGTCTGAGTGTTTTGGTTACTCTCAAAGGACTTTCTAATGCCATGAACTGGTGTCCCCCAGGATAGCAACATGACACTCCCCCTCCCCCCTTTTTTTCAGTCCTTCTAAGAGACAATAGAACACCTGATTTGCTACATATCTAGAGACAATTTCCATTTATTTTAACATATGAGGGACAAATTAACACCCAGAAGGAGCATGTCATTAGTAATATACATGGATAAGAAATTCTGTGGAGTAAAATGTTTAATACAGGATATAAACCACGGCACAAACTCTGATCCATGAAACATTCATTTTTAGGCTTTTTTTTTGTCCACCTATTTATTCTCTTATTTGCTCCCCAAAATTTTTTTTGCGTTCATCTTTAATTATTTTATTTTCCTGGTTCATTTTTGTACCTTTCTTTCAGTTCACAAATTTGTTACGTACACATGTATAAGAAAGGAGGTGTAGAGGTAATATTACTAATTTTTCTTAATTTGTAAATATTTGGTAAAACCATCAAAAACAAATTTAAAACATTTGTTGGAAATCAGATTATTTTGGCATACTACAAAAATAACAGAGAATCTAATCCGTGTTTTATACCCCACCTTCTATAGACTGTAAGCTCATTTGAGCAGGGTCCTCTTCAATCTATTGTACCTGTAAGTTTTCTAGTAATTGTCCTATTTGTAGTTAAATTCCCCCTCTAATAATATTGTAAAGTGCTACAGATCTGTTGGCACTATATAAATGGCAGTAATAATAATGTAATAAACATGGAAGAAACTGTTTTATATATAAGAAAATGGTGCATGCGCACAAAACTGGTACAAAAGTAAACACAGCAACCCTAAGAGTTATACAAGTGTTACCATAATCTAATAATAAATAATAATCTACAAATTAGGGATAAACCAATGTTGTTTTTTTTATTTTTTTTATTTTTTTTTATTTTTTTTAGAGCCGATATCTGTGAACTCTCAGGCCGATAACTTACCGACAGCGATAATCTGTACATTTACCATTTAAAAAAATAAACTTTCTGCACAAATCTACTGTTACCTGACCATGTTTATTAATGTATTTTTTTGCAAATCTCTTTTATTAAGGTAAATGCAAAAAATATGCAGTGTGTGTAGTGTGTGTGTATATATAATGACTGCATTGTGTAGGTATATTAAGTGTGTAAAATGGGGGCATTTTTGTTTTTTTACATTTAAAATTATTTTTATTTTTTTATTTAAAATTTTGTTTTGCTCCCCCCTCCTTGCGTCTTACCTGGCCAGGGAGGGGGTATATGGCATTCCCTGGGGGGCCCTGCACACTCTTACTTACCTTCCCAGTAGCTCCCTTGTCAAACTCTTGCGGCCTGTGCCGTGCGGAGTGTTTCCATGGTAATCCGTGGCAACGCTTTGACGATCGTGGGACTCTCAAGAGTTAGACAGGGGAGCTGCCCGGAAGGGAAGTGTGCTGGGCCCCCAGGACCCTGATGTCGGCCCTGGTCTGCATTATCGGTAATATCGGTATCTTTATTGACCAATACTGATATTGCTGAAAATACACGCACAAATACTGGAAATACTTGGAAATTCTGATTAAATATTTAAATTCTAGAACAAAAGTGTTTGCTTGTGCCTAGCTTAACCAGACTTCCAAACTTGGGAACCTTCTTTAGTTTCTGTTGCTCTCCCTGTACATGTTTTGCTTAATTTATCTTGTCTTTGTATTTATTTATTTTCTCTTTTAGGTCACCAAAAATGAGGCGTAAAGGACGCTGGCACAGAGTTTCTGCACCACCCAGGACATCTACATCTCCGTGTAGTATTAAACATTCCCCCACTCGGGAAACCTTGACATATGCACAAGCCCAGAGAATGGTTGAAATAGAAATAGAGGGTCGTCTGCACAGAATTAGTATTTTTGATGCATTAGACATTATTTCTGATGATGATCTCACTGCTCAAGAAATGACAGAATGTAACAGCAATAAAGAAAACAGCGAACAGCCACCACAGGTTTGTCTTCGGTCAAAAAGGCATAAAGCTAGTAATGGCAAAAAGAAAAGTGAAGTTCTTCCAACAGCACATGGACATGCTGCCACAAGTGTTCTCCCTGAGCCTAAAGTACGTGTCATAGAATGCAGCCCTCCATCTGCTCCCAACAGGCCTGCAACCTACTACAAGTTTCAAGAAAAATCTGCGGAAGAGCTGGACAAAGAAGTGGAATATGACATGGATGAAGAAGATTACGCATGGCTGGAAATAATAAATGAGAGACGCAAAAGCGATGGACTCTCTGTAGTTTCCCAAGACATATTTGAATTCCTTATGGACAGATTTGAGAAAGAATCATACTGTGAAAATCAAAAACAAGGTGACCAGCAGTCATTAATTGATGAGGACGCAGTTTGTTGTATCTGCATGGATGGGGAATGTCAAAACAGTAATGTTATTTTGTTTTGTGATATGTGTAATTTAGCTGTACATCAGGAATGTTATGGAGTGCCATACATACCTGAGGGACAGTGGCTTTGTAGACATTGTCTGCAGTCTCGTAATATGCCTATTGATTGCGTGCTGTGCCCAAACAAGGGAGGTGCCTTCAAAAAGACTGATGACGATCGCTGGGGACATGTTGTTTGTGCTTTGTGGATCCCAGAGGTTGGATTTGCAAATACAGTTTTTATTGAACCGATCGATGGTGTAAGCAACATTCCCCCAGCAAGGTGGAAACTAACTTGTTACCTCTGTAAGCAAAAAGGTGTTGGTGCCTGCATCCAGTGCCATAAGGCAAACTGTTACACTGCTTTCCATGTGACTTGTGCTCAGAAAGCTGGACTTTACATGAAAATGGAACCTGTGAAAGAAGTCAACGGAAGTATCACAACATTTTCTGTTAAAAAGACTGCTTATTGCGATGCTCATACACCTTCAGGGTGTGTGAGAAGGCCATTAAATATATATGAAGAGCCAGATTCGAAAAATGGCATCTGTAGAAAGGGTAGTGACCGGACAGTACGGTCAACTTCCAAACTTAGGAAAAGAGCAAAGAAAATGAAGAAAGAAGAAGAAACAGAAGCTTGTGCAATTGTACCCACAGTCAACGTACCAGATATTCCACCTCAGAGGTAAGGGGTAAAATTGGCAATAGCACTCTTCGAATTTAAATGTCTCGCTTTGTGTTTTCCAGTTCTGGCTTTTAGTCAAAACTAGAGAACAAAACAGGTTTATTCTCTAAACAACCAATTGTGAGTTGAAAACCTTACTGCAAATTCAGGCTGAAATAAATTATACCAAAGTTGGATCATTCTGTCAGAAATGTACTATTGTTGCTTAAATATTGCAGATTATCAAATTTACTTCAGTTTAGTGAATAAAGACTAGGAATACATTCTACTATTATAAACTATTTGTTTCCCAGAAAGTGTGCCTTAACACGTCAGTAACTGTGTATATGCTACCACAGGGTGTGCACCTTTTGCCCAGGTCAGACAATTACTTGGCCAATCTTGATGCACCTTTAAATTTCTATGGTAGGAGCTCGTCACATAAATTACAAGATGTACAATATAGCTATGTGAGTACGTGTAGGGACTTGTAGTTTAATTGACCGCTTTGTACGATAGAAAGCAAAAAGCTGAACTACAATGTCCAGAATACTTTGCTGTACAGCATGTCTGTAACTCTTATAACACAGGCTACTTGTACATTTGGTAACACAGATCTTATACTGTAACTAACAGGAAAATACTGCAAATTGGAAGGGGAAGATTTAACTTAAGAAAATATATATTTTTCTAAAAACATATAGCTGTAATCATACCTTCTCATTGCACATTCACCCGTGAGGGTGACTTGTTGGTGCCTTTGCATTTTTAATTTTTTTTTTATGTCCTCTTCTGTGGTTGGGTATTAGGTGAGCAGTAGGTACACTTGCCTCTATGCCGGTCTCCTTAGCACTGGTATTTTTAAAACATTTTATTTAAAGAGATACTCCACTGACCATTAAAACATGCATGTATTTAAGTATGCATTTTTAATAGAGGGTATATTGTATATTGAAAAAACGCTCTAAAAAAAGCTACGGTTCTCTTGTCTGCAGCATTTGCAAGCCGTGCCCAGGCGTTCTGTGGTTTCCCAATCATACACATCCCAATGCAGCTCAATGAAAAGTCTGTGCAAGGCACGTGCCTTGGGCAATTGCTGCCTCTCGAGTTTAGCTCCACTGATCTAAAAAAACAACAAGGAAGTAACAGGACCAGTTGTCTGACAGGGCGAGTAACAAGGTTAATCTATATGCCAGTTGAAATCTGCACCTTTTGAAAAATGAAAAAGAGGACGTGTTTTCTTTTATACATGAGGTGCTTTAGGTTTTTGGAGTGTTCCTTTAATCTTTAGATTGATCTGACTGCATTCTGGGTTATATGGAACATCTTGCTATACAATGGTCATAGAAGAATAAAGCCACAACAACTCTTCATGTTTTATATAGGTTTCTTTGGGATACCAGATAGACAGAAGAAGAAAACCCCCAAAAACAAACCCATTTATACTTAACTGATACAAAGGGACAAATTAATTGAATACTGTAGCACTCACTGTCCCAGCAAAGTAACAATATTTTCTGCCCCAAGACTGCTTTTGTTCAAGGGATTGATTATCCAATACAACTCTCTATTTGCATTACAAATGTTATCCAAAATGAACCAGTCAGAAGCTGGTATATGGTCATGTCTTTATTGCAATGGTTCTGAGAGCATACATATTAATGGGACACTTTAGTGCTAGGAAAACAAAGCCCCCTCCACCAGGGTCCAGAAATGGTTAAAGAAAACCTTTTGTCACTTGTTTCTAGCGCAGTGTTTCCCAACCCAGTCCTCAAGGCACACCTACCAGTCCAGGATTTAGGGATTACCCAGTTGTGTCTAAGGTGTTTTTTTCTTCTTTGTAAAAACACCTTAGACACAACTGGGTAATCCCTAAATCCTGGACTGGTAGGTGTGCCTTGAGGACTGGGTTGGGAAACACTGTTCTAGCGCACTGCCTCTGTCCCATCCACTCTGACGTCAGCGGGAGGGAGGGTGGGGACTAATGTGGCGATCGCATTAGGACTCTCCTCACATATAGGAAAGCAATTGTATAATGCTTTTCTATGGGTTTTGGGTGACTAGATTTCCTCATGCATGACGTGAGGATGTCCTGCGTCAGGCGACCAAAAGTCACGTAAACCACCCGGAAGTCTCTTTAGTGGCGGTCTAGTAGACAGCCATTAGAGATGGAGTTAACCCTGCAATGTAATTATTGCAGTTTATCAAAAACTGCAATAATTACAATTGCAGTATGAAAGGACCACTATAGTGCCCTGAGGGAGCCCCCACCCTCATGGTCCCCCTCCCGCCGGGCTCTGGGGAGAGGAAAGGGATTAAAACTTACCTTTCTCCAGTGCCCGGCGGGGAGCTTTCCTCCTCCGATCCTCCTCCTCTCCTCCCATTCGGCTGAATGCGCACGCGCGGCAAGAGCTGTGCGCACATTCAGCCGGTCTCATAGGAAAGCATTTACAATGCTTTCCTATGGACGCTTGCGTGCTCTCATTGTGATTTTCACAGTGAGAATCACGCAAGCGCCTCTAGCGGCTGTCAATGAGACAGCCACTAGAGGATTTGAGGGCTGGATTAACCCATTTATAAACATAGCAGTTTCTCTGAAACTGCTATGTTTATAAAAAAAAAAATGGGTTAATCCTAGAGGGACCAGGCACCCAGACCACTTCATTAAGCTGTAAACCACCATCTGGTCCCTTCTTGCCTCTATAAATATAGTAAAATCTTGCTTGAATTTGTGTGTTCAGCTGCTGCCTCTGCCTGCTGTCTCCTCACATCATCAGAAGTGGTGGTCTGAGCCAATCACAATGCTTCCCCCATAGGATTGGCTGAGACTGTAAAGGAGGCAGATCAGAGGTAGAGCCAGCACGAGTCAAACACAGCCTTGACAAATTCACATCTCCTCATAGAGATGAATTGATTCAATGCATCTCTATGAGAAAAGTTCAGTATCTGCATGGCGAGAGTGGAGACCTTGAATGGCAATACTGCACAGTGAGGAAGCACCTCTAGCAGGCATTTGAGGAGTGGCCAGTGGAGGTATCACTAGGCTGTAATGTAAACACTGCATTTTCTCTGAAAAAGGTAGTGTTTACATGAAAATGCCTGAAGGTAATGAGTTCACTCACCAGAACAAATACAATAAGCTGTTCTGGTGACTGTATAGGGTCCCTTTAAGGGGACTGGGACACTGCACCTCGACTACTTGTTAAAGCGGCACCATCATGCCGAACTTGCCTTTCCTCAATCTCTTCCTCTTCTCCCCCTCTCTCAGGATCTGTTCTTCTTCTTTTCTTCCTGTCTTCTTTAGTTTTCTTTAAAATCAGTAGGGACTCTTTGCCTTATGGCGGTTTCCTCCGCTTGACCAGCTTTGGCCAGGGGAGGAGCAAAGTGTGTTTAATTTCTGCTGGTCAGAGCAATTTTCCCATAATTCTAACCTTTCCTCTGTGATCTCTCGATGCTTCCTGTCATTTTAGACGAAACTGCCGAATTGCGTTCTAACTGAGAACAGTGTGTTCGTTTGTTTGAGAACTCAATTCGGCACATTGTTCGTATCGGAATTTCATTCGAATGAATGAAACTCCGATTCAATTTGTGCCACGGCTGCATCGTGCAGCCGCTTAGTAGATAACTCCCTAATTCCCATGGTATCAGGGAGTTATGTACTAAAAGGCTGAAAGACCTAAATTGGTCTTTCAGCCACATTTACTAATACTAAATAAAGATTACTTAGTATTAGTAAATTCAACCTACTAACCACGCCCCTCCCCCTGCACGGTGGGTGGGGACAATAATACAATAAATGACGACGGGTGGGGGCCCTTAATGACAATGAGGGGGGACCTATTGTCCATCCCCCCGGCCCCTACTCCTGCGCGTGTAGTGGGGGCCCTAAATAAGGATAAGGGAGGGGGGCCTACTGTCCTTCCCCCGGCCCCCATCCCTGAGCGGTGGGTGGGGACCCTATATAAGAATGGTAGGGGGGGACCTACTGTCTGAGCGGTGGGTGGGGGCCCTAAAAAACAATAAGGGGGGGACCTACTGTCCTTCCCCACCCCCGAGCAGCGGGTGGGGGCCCTAAATGAAAATTTCAGAGGAAGTGCCTCCAGTAGGTCCCCCCATATTGTTTTTTAGGTGGGTGGGGGCCCGGGGGTAGGACAGTAGGTCCCCCACCCCTTATTGTTTTTTTAGGGCCCCTTTTTTTATCTTGGCAAGCTTGGCATACACTGTTTTTTGTCCCACCTGCTTGCCTTGAAAACCTTCGTTACAAAAAAATTTAAAGCTTTGTTACAAAATAATTATATTGCTAAGCATGCTCTTTTGCCTACTAACACTTTTATAAGACCGTAGCTTTATCCAATATATCAGTTGGATTATACATATTAGCATTGTATAATTAATATATCTTCTTATTATTCAGGCTCTTAACATAATATTCACCACATAAATGTAAGATGCATTAGATTTTTTATATACCTTTTTCAGGTTAATTTCAGGTCGCTAGGACTGCTCTCCTGAGGGGAAGATAAGTGCATCCCAGATTAGGCAAAGAAAAAAATAAATACAGTGACAATATATTTACATACAAATATATCATTCTGATCACATCTAAATAAATCAGATGAACTTTATACTAAACATTGTAATCTCCAGCAAGTATTAAACCTGTGCTGTAGGTCCCCAATGCTCTTTCTTTTTAGTGCCATTCCCCTCCACACACACTTTTCCCACTGTAAGGAGTCAAACCATTTTCCTTTGGTTTTTTTCTTCTTATATGGAGTAAGCCAGGTGTCAGCTCCCACCTGCTTCAGACAATAGGGCCAGAAGCTTCTGTAAATTCTATATTATTATTTTTTTTTTAATTTCAACATATTCTTCATTGGCATCCGATGAGCATAATACCAATGCTGTCGGGTTTGAATTATTGCTGCATCGTTAAAAGAACACCATACCGTTAAAAATCAAAATGTGTATTCCTAATACTATAGTACACTGTTAGCAGTTTAGGTACCTTTCCTATCGCCCGATGGGAGGATCTCAGCCAATCCAATGTTTTGCCATAGGGAAGCATTACAAGACCAGTGCCTATGCACCTCAAAACTCAGCGCTGTGCCAATCAGATAATCTGTGTAAGACTCCCTAATAGAAATGGCAGTGTTTCTTCTGCTATTTCAGTGGAAGTGCCGCCAGTTGCTGTCACCTGCTGGATGCATTTAAACCCTGCAATGTAAACATTGCCCTTCCTGCTAAACAGTAGTGTTTTTACATTACATGGTTAAACTGGGAGTGACATTAGACACAGACACAGTGGTTTGGGTGCCTATAGTGTCCCTCCCCTGTCCCTCCCCCCCCCTTTCCCCCCAAACATCTACTCAGCATTAAAATGCTATTCTACAGTTCTGTGTTGTTGTTTTTTTTTTATTCATTCAGTTGGTCTGAATTCCCTATTCAGTAATTACATCCCTTACAAGTAGCTTGACTAACTACCATCTGTATAATTTTTTACTGTAAGCAGGAGGAGGCTGGGAAATATGCTTTTCCATTAAAATAATGTTTTTCTTCAACCGTAACCATGACAAATTTGTTGGCACAGTTTTTATAATGCTGACGTGTTTCATGCTAATGTGTTTATTAGGGAGAGGTGTACCATCATGTTCAAAAGATTGCAAGAAAAGAAAGGTTAAGGACTCAGCGCTTATTGTTCCCAATAGAAAGATATATATCCAATAATAATTAGCTGCTAAACATTCTCATGACTCCTTCAATGTCATCAATAAATTCAAACAGTAGAAAGGAAAAAAGATTCCTTAAAGAATGTAGCGCTTGTATAATAAATAATATACAAAATAATAATACAAAAGACAATCATACATAGTGCAGATAGTATATAACTGTGCAATTATGTATCTATTTGTATATGGTGTTAACACCATATACAAATAGATACATAATTGCACAGTTATATACTATCTGCACTATGTATGATTGTCTTTTGTAGATAAACCATTTATTGGACACCTGAACAAGGGGGAAAAAAATCATATCTCGCCCAATTATCAAAAGGTGATAGCATATTATTTATTATACAAGCGCTACATTCTTTAAGGAATCTTTTTTTTCCTTTCTACTGTTTGAATTCATGTTCAAAAGATGCCCAGTGTGTTCACTTGCATTGGTTATTAATTTGCTGTGAGGGATGGCTGGCTTATTAAAATAAAAAAATAACAGTTACTTCTTCAGTGGCAAGTATTTTTTATCTTTAGTTCCTGAATTGATTACTTTTATGTAATGGGTAGTTAATTAGCAGTTATTTTGCTTCTGTGCAATGTTATGCTTTAAAGTGACGTTGATAATGCCTTAAAATGCGTAAGAAATGCTTATTCCTCTTAGAGAAGACTGCTGCTGATTTGCCTAGTGCAGAATCCAGAAACTGGCTATGATCTCAGTCCTTGGTCTTCTATTGCTCTCGGTAGAATTTGTGTGGTGCTAAATGAATGAATGAATGAATGACAAGTTTCTTGCACAAGTGAATATAAATGGACAGCAGTTTTGTTTGTGCTTTTTGCTTTCTTTTGGTAATATAGATGCTATTTATGGCAGGATAGTGTTTTTTTGGAACTCCATATTTTCTTTTATTAGAACTTGACCAGGGGATTGTTTTGAACTTTCAGCTGTAGGTTGCTCACCAGTTATTGGTGGTTCAGTATGAGGCTGCGCGCATAATTTTCTTTTTTCTTTTTCCAAATGGTATCTGACTTCAACAACAAGTAGATATTTTTGTTCCTATACATTCTATGGGAAGTGACTTTCTTCAAAATATGACATGGTTATTTTCTGGTAATCGTTGAATAGTAGAGTGGACTAAGGCAACACTAATGTTATTGCAGAGGACAGACTGCTAAAGGAATGAAAATTACCCAGAGAGGCCTTAGGCCAGGGCTTGACAAATCCCAAGCGCCAGGTCGCCATGACGACTAGGAATTTTGTCCCAGCACCTGAATATTTGCCAGACTGTTCCCTCCTAGACGGGCGGCTAGCGAGGGAGTTGTAATCTTGCTGGTCTTCTTGCTCTACTCCTTGTGTGCCCTGCATTAAAGCCGGGAGACGGAAATGACCTCATGGCGCATGAGGGGGAGCAGAGCAAAATGTGGTTGAAGATTACTGCAACCAGACTGGACCCCAGTGAAAGGATCCCCACTAGACACCAGGAAAAGTGATCCATTCTACCTCTCCCAAAGCTTGGGATGCTTGGTGGGCTTAAATTGAATTAAAACAAAATAATTTGTGAGTGTGTGAGAGAATGTCAATGAGTGTGTCTGTTTAGGTGACCTGCCTAAAGAATGAGAATGTTGTTTTCACTCCCTTTATTCCCACAACGCGTTCGTATGTCCGTGGCTGGCCCTGCCTACATGGCTGAAGTAATCAAGCTTGATGATATCCATAGGAAAGCATTGGGAGGCTATTGCACATGTGTGGCAAAACGCTGCGCTGATCAGCATCTTCTCATAGAGGTACATTGATTCAAGTGCTTCCATGCAGAACGTGTAGACGCTGAATGTAGGTGCTGCACACTGTGCAGCACTGAGATAAGAAGCACTTTGGTGGCAGTCTGAGTGACTGTCACCTGAGATGTTGCTAAGCAGTGTTTGCACTGAAAAGACTGCAGGGACAGGTTATAGACACCAGTACCACTACATTAAGCTGAAGTGGTTCTGGTGACTTATATCTTTTAAGAATTGTAATTTTGTTGTTGAAAATAAAGCTTTGTTAGTTAAAAAATAAAAAAAAAGTCTCTAACATATTTTGCTGGCTCCTAAATTCAAACAAAATGTGTCAAGCCGTAGGCCTTCCTAAGAAGTTGAATTTTAAGGATATTCTTAATGGTTATGAGAAGGTGAAAGACTGATGGGGGAGGGGGCAGGCTTTTCCCTAGGTATGGCGTTTCATCACAAAGCATCATTTGCTGAAACTGTGAACTTGGCAACTAATTCATATTGCAAAATGGGAAACTGAAAACTTTAATTCTTTTCATAGAAAGGAAAATCTTAATTTTAAAGTTTTTCCAATAAAAAAAAAGATAAAATCTAAGCAAACCCCCTCTCCTTATTCTGTCTTTACATTTGCACAGAAATTAGGAGGCTGTACTCTGCATGTCTGCCATCAGGGAACCCCTTTCTCTAGGAGTCTCGCTTGAATTTAGCGTACGGCAAATTAATGTGTGCTGGGACATAGGAGGGGATCAGGCCGTGTGTGAGTGCAACCTGGAGAAAGAAAGCAAGAGCATTGCACAGGCAATCTGAGAATGAACACATTGTTTTTATATACATCAAATCAAGCATAAAATGTTGGGGACTTTTAACCTGTTATGAGAAGTAAATCTGTGCTTCTCAAACAGGGGCGTATATTACAGAGCTGTGTCTTATAGCTAGATTCACTATAAATGTGCTTGGTAACTTCACTTTAAATGTGCTTGGTAACTGTATTCCTGAAATGAGTCTTGTTTTCAGTGTATAAATCTGTGTTTACATATTTCAGAGTTAACAAAATAATGAACCAGGTGTCTATTCAACGGAAGAAGCAGTTCATTGAGAGAGTGCACAGCTATTGGCTGCTGAAACGCATGTCAAGGAATGGCATTCCCTTATTGAGACGGCTCCAGTCCAGTTTACAGTCACAGAGAAATATACAACAGGTAAAGCAAATCTTATTTTACCTTTGCTGATATGGGCTACATTCTTATATATTTGGAAAAGCTTTTCAAATGATCACTATTTGCTAGAAAAACATTTTTCAAATGATTTATGTACAGGATCACCATTAAAGTCACTGGGAATTTTTGTAGATAAATCATTTGAAATGTTTTTTTTGTTTTTTTTTGGTAACATTTTTTATGCTGCTTCAAAGATTAAATCAAGGCCATTGTCTGTTGCATTTTCTGTCAATGCTAAATTGCAGTAGGTTAATAAAGGAGACTGGTAATCCGTCTAACTTGTAGATTTATTTTTAAGAATACAATATCTGATTAGTGTGAATTCTAAGATAATACATAGACTTCATATTATAGGCCAAAACAGTCATGTTGAACAGTAATCTTTCAAGTAACCTTGTTTTCAGTGTAGCTATTATGTTCTAAAATTTGAATTCACTTTGAGTTCCTAGTGATTAATACTTTATTAATTGAATCTAACAGCTTCTGCTACACCAGGCAACTTTTGGTACTCCAGATATTGTTTGACTACATGTCCCATGATGCTAGCAAATAATGATGATATATGTAGTCCACATCATCTGGAGTGCTGAAGGTTGACCGCCCCTGGTCATCTTGTCAATAAAGTTTTACAAAAATGATACAAAAATTGGAGACATATCAAAGTGTTGCTGACACGTGTAAGGATCATTTTTGGTGCAATTTTTGAAGTCTACCTCTCCTCCCCCTTACTGCTTTTTTTTTTTTTCTATCTTGTGCTTTTTTTCAACCACACACAATTTGAATTTTTCCACCACTTTTTCGTACAGGAAAGTGTTCTTTCACTCCCACCGCTTAATAAATGTGATAAAAAAAAAAAATGAAGGAATTGAACAATTACATTTCAAACCACTTTGAGAACTATCCGCTGATGTGCTTTCATTTTGTTTATTTTTTTTTTAACTTTCATTCACAAAATTATAATTTCTGCTATTCGTATATTCTTTGGCAACATTATTGTGGCAGGTTATTATACAAACACAAAACTTTGCTTTTAAAGTTAAAAAACCTTGTAAAGAAATATAATTTGTTCTGGTGCTGGGCCTGTCTTTGCAGAGCTCAGGTGGGCCAGCGTGATATCTTGCCTAGAAAGCTAGACTTATGCTTTTAAATTCACTATACCTCTATCTCACAGAGAGGGACAATTCTGTTACAGCAGAAGCCTCTATGTCAGGGGTGGGGAACCTTCGGCCCTCCAGATGTTTTGGACTACATTTCCCTTGATGCTTTGCCAGCTGTAAGAGCATTATGGGAGATGTAGTCCAAAACATCTGGAGGGTCAAAGGTTCCCCACCCCTGCTCTACGTGATTTTATACACAAACACGGTGTTGATAGTGTGAATTATGCTTCAGTTAGGCATATACGAGTTAAAACATTTTACTCATACATGTAATATTGAGTCAGAATTTCCACACATCTCTACAATTTAATTACATATATCTGTGAGATGGATATTAAAGCATTTCATTTAACTGTTACACCAGCTGTGATCTAAAATTTTCATTTGTCCCATGTTCTGGTTGATATTTACTTTTCTCATTAGATTTAGCCTTAAACAAGTTTTGCTTACTTTGATAACTACTGCAACAATATAGTCCCCCCCTCACTCCCAGCATAATGTAATTGTAACAAAATTATAGCATGGAGAATGTAGCTAAAATTAGCCAGGACATTGTTTGTCTTGTGTTTGTGCTTTATTACTGCCAGTCTGTATCTAGTGTAAATATACTGAGAGTTCCTGCTGCTCAGATATTGGAAGCTTTCCATGTGGATTGTACAGTTTTGCCGGCTGAATTTAGTTTAAACTTGTCTTCTGGTAAATGTTCTTCTGACTAGAATTTTGTAAAAAGGCATTCTTAAAACAATAACAATTTCTGTAACACTGGATTTTCCTAGAGGGAAGATGATGAAGAAGTACAGTCCTTGAAAAAGAAATTAAAATATTGGCAACGGTTAAGGCATGATCTTGAAAGAGCGAGGTTATTAATTGAACTCATACGAAAACGGGAAAAGCTAAAACGTGAACAGGTAATGTTCTTCTTTTTGTTAATACCATTTTATTTAGGACAACCCTCCCCCCAACAATGTTTCTATATATGCTGTGAATTGAATTCTATTCTATAGTTACTGTGACGAACGCCCCTTGGTCTGATCGTTCGCCACAACGATCTGCTAGCCAGCCTCCTGCCCCAGGACTATGGGCCATGGAATTGGCTCATAGAAAAGACTTGGTTCGTGGGATTTATTTGTTCTGTTCAGGAACCGAACAAATTCACGAACTGCGGACCACCTCTGTGCTTGTTAACCTCTCCTGACACTTCTATCATCATGTGTTCTAATTGTGCTGCTGGGTGGCCACCATTCGTATTCACAAACCCGTGGGAACTGTCGGCGGCCATCTTGTTCGCGAGAATGCAGGCAGCGTTGTCTGAGGGCTGATCACATGGAACTCAAATCAAACTTCCGAACATCGCTGAACTTTGAACGCTTGCTTATTCCCCACACATGTCAGGAGAGCGCCATTCGGTAGGTTTGTTCATATGAACCCGTCTAACAAGCGCTACCAACAAGCCAGAGTGTGCGTTCGGTATTTCTTTTACATGGAACTCTCGAAGTTGACCAGCAAAAGCACCAAACGCCGTGGAACTGTTTTGTGCATAGGACCATGTGTGCTGCCGGTCAGAAATTTATCCCGGTGGTGATTCGGCTGTTTTTGTGGGATCTGAGCGCTTTTCCATTATATACTGGTCGCTCAGATTGGATTGGGTTAATGATTGAGGAGACCATGAGAGATAAGCAGTAATGCTGGAAAAACTTAAATAAAATAATTTTTAATAAAAATTTTTAAAAATTGGGGCTAAACATGAGAACAGGTACACTAAAGATTTAGGAATACAGGTTTTATTCCTAATGCTTTAGTGTTCCTTTAGGAAGCACCAAGTACCATGATCGTTTCAGTCTATAGTTGAAGATATGAGGCTTTTAGAATTTTGAAAGACTTCAACATTTTTAAAATATGAATATTATATTTCAAGAAGAAAATAAAAAAGTACATGTCTTACTGCTAGATGAATAAAACCACATGTTCATTGTCTGACATTTTGCTAAATTGTCTTTTATTAGCTTTCTGTTAATTATGTATGTTGGTTGACTGACTGTATTCTTTATTGTGGGTATTTTTAGGTTAAAGTTGAACAGGTAGCAATGGAGCTCCAGCTAACACCGCTGACGGTCCTGCTACGCTCCCTTCTTGAACAACTTCAGGAGAAAGATCCGGCTCGGATATTCGCTCATCCTGTAAATCTCACAGAGGTGAAGTACTTTTTATTTTTTGACTATTCCGGTGCCTTGGGTTGCAAATAGGCCTGCCACATTTTCTGGGTGCACATCACTTATGTAAACTGTTGGACAGGATATAAAATGCTTCCCTGCAGCATGTAGAAATAAGTTGCAGACAGGGTAGTCGGTTAATATATACTTAAGGCAAGCTACCCCTTGATTTAATTTCCCTTTTGCAGCATAGGAATGCCACATATTACAGAGCTGCATTGTACCGGTACAAGCCTATTTATGGGGAATGCACTTTATAGTGTATAAACATTGAAAAAAAAACACCATCCCTAAAATGACACTTCTGTATTATAAATAATCTATTTAAAAATGCAGGGCTTCATATAGAGAAGCATTGAGAGCAATTATTTTGTTTGACAACAGGGATTTGGGGGAGCAACCCATACACACTATTAAAGATTTCAAGAGAAATTGGCACTTTTTTATAAAGTGTAAAACAAGAGACATTCTACTGACTGCTTCAGACAGCAAGCTCTTTACGGGTTTGGGGTCTTTCTTTAATGCAGTCAAACTGCAGGGCAGTGAGGAATAAAGAAATAGCCCCAGTACATTGATTTATTCACAATTAACTTACCAGGAAAATAGAAGTAAATTGAAAATGTTCCTCTCAGGTTCCAGATTACTTGGATCACATTAAGCATCCCATGGACTTCTCTACCATGAAGAGACATCTAGAAGATCAAAGATACAAGAATCTGAACGAGTTTGAAGAAGATTTCAACTTAATTATTGAGAACTGCATGAAATACAATGCCAAGGACACCATGTTTTTCAGGGCTGCAGTGAGGTTACGAGATCAAGGTGGGGTGTTACTGAGACAGGCTAGACGTGAAGCAAATACTGTTGGTTTTGATGATGAGACAGGGATGCATTTACCCGAAAGACCAAAAATTGAACCACCACCACAATTTACATGGGAAGATGGTAAGTTGCATGTTCCTGTTAGCAAGCCTAACACATTTTTGGGTTGTTTCTTTTCCTCCCTAAATTTAATTACTCGAAATCTAACTACTTTGAAAGATTTTTTTTTTTTTTCCTGTACTATTTGTGCCCAGAAGTCACAGATCCTTGTTTCAAATTTTTTTTTTTTTTTTTAATCCACCGCTGCCATTCTACCTCTCTGATGTCCTGTTTTCTTGTGAAAGCACAGGTCATGGGTCACCAGAGCATCTGTTGCCAGTGTAGACCATTTGTGATACCATTTGAAGTGCAAATCTGTTTTGAGTGCCTGCTGTTTATTTGATAATTTATGTTAGGCAGATAAATGTATTGTTAGAGTTAAAAAAATGCTATGCCAAAACCTTACAAAATGACCAAGTCTTTGTACTAATGTTAAAAAATGGTCACTTCTCTGGAATTTACACCATTGAATAAAACACTAAAATCATCTAACACCCTTCCCCCCCCCCCGATTAAATGTATAATATTTACCCTCCCCCATCCTTTATAAAACTTATAAGGTTTAGCAAATATATCCTATATAGTTTTTTTTTTTATTCACCCTAGTTTTAACCCCTTAACAACCTAGGACAGTTCAGGACAGTCATCGGCATTTTTGCGTTGCCGACTGTGATGGTCTTGAACCGTCCTAATGGTCTTATGTACTTACCCGATTGCCGTCGTTCCCCCAGCAGTGATCAGCGGTGCTCCCTGCAGCCCAGGCAGTCTCCCCAGGGCGGATTAGGACCCCTGTGGCCATGTGATCGCTCAACAGAGCGATCACATGGTCACAATAGGTGTCAATGTATCTGCCTGCAGGGGGACTGCCTGTGCTGACAGGCAGTCTCTGTTAGTGTAAAATCATAAAATTTCTTTAAAGGTTAACATTAATAAAAAATAATTATATATTTGTGTGTATGTATGTGTGTCTGTGTGTATGTGTGTGTGTGTGTATATATGTATGTATATGTGTGTGTATGTGTGTGTATGTGTGTGTATATATATATATATATATATATATATATATATATATTCTGTCTATATATCATATATATGCCATACTAAGTGTATTTTTATATTAATATGTACTTATATTAATATAGAAATACACTTATAATTAAATTACACAAGTGTATATAATTATATATTGTGTATATATATTATAAAATACAAATAAGTAAATTAAATTAAAAATAATAAAAATTGTAAAAAATTATATTAAATTTTATTCTAACTGTATTTTGATATTAAAATATATATCAAAATACACTTAGAATGAAATTGTATATATATCTATGTATATATAAATAAAAATAATACGAAATATACATATGTCAACATACAAATTACATAAATAATTATATAAATATACACGTAGACTTCAAATATATAAATATGCATATATATTTAAATTCTACGTGGGTGTTTATGTAATATTTTTACATAATAAAGTAATTTTATTAATTGCAATTTGAGGGACCTGCCTGACAACCCAGGCCGAAAGTCCAGAGAGTTTAATTTGCTAGCACTGTATTTTACCCTGTAACTTTCTATGACACCCTAAAACCTGTACATGGGGGGTACCGTTTTACTCTGGAGACTTCGCTGAACACAAATATTAGTGATTCAAAACAGTAAAACATATCACAGTGATGATATTGTCAGTAAAAGTGACTTTTTTTTTCGCATTTTCAATGCACAAACAGCACTTTTACTGATATAATTGTTGTGATACGTTTTCCTGTTTTGAAACACTAATATTTGTGTTCAGCAAAGTCTCCCGAGTATAACAGTACCCCCCATGTACAGATTTTATAGCGTTTTTGAAAGTTACAGGGTCAAATATATGGGTCAAATATTTTTACATTGAAAATGGCCAGGTTGGTTACGTTGCCTTTGAGAGCGTATGGTAGCCCAGGAATGAGAATTACCCCCATGATGGCATACCATTTGCAAAAGAAGATAACCCAAGGAATTGCAAATGGGATATGCCCAGTTTTTTTTTAGTAGCCACTTAGTCACAAACACTGGCCAAAATTAGCATTCAATTTAGTTTTTTACTTTTTTCACACACAAACAAATATGAACGCTAACTTTGGCCAGTGTTTTCGACTAAGTGGCTACTAAAGACTGGACATACCCCATATTGAATACCCTGGGTTGTCTGCTTTAAAAAAAAAAAATGTACATGTGGGGTGTGATTCAGAGATTTATGACAGATAAGTGTTACAATGTCACTACTGATAAATTTGGAAAAATTTGTTTTGAAACCGCAATATCCTACTTGTACCCATAGCCCTATAACTTGCAAAAAAGCATGTAAACACTGGGTATTTTAAAACTCAAGACAAAATTTTGAATCTATTTAGCAGGTTGTTTTTTTTTATTCGCTTTTGTAGATGAGTAAAAGATTTTTCAAGTAAAAATCAAAAAACATGTATTTTTTTTTTCAATTTGTCATATTTTTTCATTTTTTTTAAAATTAAATTACATGAGATTATTTAAATAATGGTATGTAAAGAACGCCTTTTTTGTCCTGAAAAAAACAATGTATAATTTGTATAGGAACAGTAAATGAGAGCGCGGAAAATTACAGCTAAACACAAACACTACAAAAGTGTTAAGAGGCCTGGTCCCAAATGTACAACATTGCAAAACAGACCAGTCCTTAAGGGGTTAAACCATTCAAAATATCTCTCTCTCTCTCCCCCTCTCTCTCCCCCTCTCTCCTCCTCTCTCTCCCTCTCCCCCTCTCTCCCTCTCTCTCTCTCTCCCCCTCTCTCTCCCCCTCTCTCTCTCTCTCTCTCTCTCCCTCTCTCCTGTTGAGACAGTAGATTAGATCTAAATACCTGTGTGTGTGTGTGTGTGTAAAAATGTATATGTATTCCCATTGTAGATACTTAGGTGACAACATATGTTGATCAGTTCTTACCTTAGTGTTCTCTTTCGGAGCAGATCCCAAATGGCCACCAATATTTCCTCTATTATGTGTTTTTTCTTTTTTTTTCTTTTTTCTTCTTTTTTCTTGTAGCATTAATTTGGTTGGTTGAAGTGTGCCTTAATGAAACCTGTTTGAGTAATTGCACTTGATGTTGTGCTTAATTGTCCACTGAACCTTGCCTACGCCTGCAAAGAAAAATATATTTTGTGTATCCTTAAAGGAACACTATAGTCACCTAAATTACCTTAGCTAAATGAACCAGTTTTAGTGTGTAGATCATTCCCCCTGCAATTTCACTGTCATTTAGGAGTTAAATCACGTTTCTGTTTATGCAGCCCTAGCCACACCTCCCCGGCTATGATTGACAGAGCCTGCATGAAAATAAAACTGGTTTCACTTTCAAACAGATGTAATTTACCTTAAATAATTGTATCTCAATCTCTAAATTGAACTTTAATCACATACAGGAGGCTCTTGCAGGGTCTAGCAAGCTATTAACATAGCAGGGGATAAGAAAATCTTAATTAAACAGAACTTGCAATAAAGAAAGCCTAAATAGGGCTCTCTTTACAGGAAGTGTTTATGGAAGGCTGTGCAAGTCACATGCAGGGAGGTGTGACTAGGGTTCATAAACAAAGGGATTTAACTCCTAAATGGCAGAGGATTGAGCAGTGAGACTGCAGGGGCATGTTCTATACACCAAAACTGCTTCATTAAGCTAAAGTTGTTCAGGTGACTATAGTGTCCCTTTAACATAGTGTCCTTTCCCTAGTAGCTTATAGTCAACAGTGCTAATGTGGATTGTTGGCTCTACAGCCATGAATGCAGATAATGTAGCCAATAATTGTTTCTCTCGTCTCTCTACAAAGCATGTATTAAGCCTCTGTTTGTGTTTATGCAGTTGATAAACTACTGAACCCGGAAAACAGAGTGAACATGTCTTTAGAGGAGCAACTGAAAGAGCTTCTCGAAAAACTAGATCTGACCTTTGCTATGAAATCCAGTGGATCAAGAAGTAAACGATTAAAGTTGTTGAAAAAGGAGATCAATAACGTACGTCAGATGCTGTCTCAACAACATGTCCAACCTCCCCAAATAGAATCAGGTATCGGAAGCTTTGAAGAGGAGAATGGATCTATAATGGAAAATGATGGCGAAGAGGATGGTAAGGAAATGCACATTGTGTGGTTTGTGTTGGTTAACGTGGATCTGTCGCTTAAACATGTGTTGACTTCTTTTAGATAAACTTGTAAAAGGTAACCATAACTCTGGCTTCTTCACTTCAGTGGGATTCATTTACCTAGGGACAATAACTGCTTTATATACTCTAACCAGGAATTTGTGGAGAATGCAAATGTTAGGCAAGCATAGCCAAATTGGAAATCCTTTTCAACTTTACTATTGTGATCTAAAGCTTGCAATTCTCTTTGTGGTTCTCCACAATTCCTGATTTACTTTGAAAAAAGAAGAGACCAAAGTCTGAAGAGAGGTTTTGGTCCCAGAAAAAGGATATCGATTGGATATAGTGTAATCTAAGAATATGAGAGCTCTGAAAAATGGTAAAATATCAGCTAAAGAAGGAATAATTTTATTCATTTTTAATAGACTATTTTTCATTTATTTTTTACTTCTTTTATCAGTCATCAATCAGATTGTCCAGGTGTGTAGAATGCTAGTGTGTACAATAGGACTTGCAATTTAAACTCCTGTGCCTGTATCCTGGCTTTAAAAGTTACTGGAGGGTCCTTGGTATAGTCACCTGGGGTAAATGTCTACATGCCAGGCCTGACTTTTAAGTTGCTTGTGGGACTTTCGAGCCATGTTATATACATAGTTTTCAAGTTTAGGTATAAATGCTTCTGTAGTGGCTCCTAAGCTGGAATTGGTGCTATTTGTAACAATTTACTCTATAAAGGGTTCAATATATGATGAACTCCGTGTAAAGAGAAAGTTGTGTTTTTGTTTTTTATACTTGAATTGTATTTCAGAGGAAGGAAGAGATAACCTCCTCTTTTGTCTGAATCACTAAAGATGCTATTTAAAGCTAATAGCTGCAAACTGTAGTACATCCGTATATCTGAATCATTAGGAGGGCTGCTTAAAACTGAAAGCCCTGGGTCAAAAACCAAGTTGCTGGTGTTATAAGCTTTTTACACATACTGTACATTTTATCAGGGAGATAACAAAAGGCACAGTTGTGCAAAAAGAATATTCTGCAAAATGTAAAGAAAAAGGTTTGAGCTTGTTAATGTTGGCACAGAGGGTTCAACATGATAGAAATTAAACTTAATAGCCTAAGAATTCTTGCTAAACTCTCAAGTACTTTCTTGAATAGTAGGCTCTTACTGGTTCAGAAGTGTTGGTCAGTCAAAGCAGGAAATAGTTCTTCCAAATCTTTCCAATATATCAAAGCAAGCTGCTGACAAATGGTGAGCAAACTCTATATTGGAGTGTGGGCAGGGATAGAAAATGCTTGAGCTATGCATGTTATCGGCGTCAATACAACACTATCCTAATTAGTAGGCATGGCTATCTTGCAAGTACAGCGAATACTAATACAAAATATGAATCTAACCCCTTCATGTTAACATTGCCAAAAAGCCAGTAAGGTCCCGTAAAGTAGCGATGTGCAAGTCATGTGATTAATAGCTTTTGCTTCTCTACATTTGGTGTTGAACCTGTGTAAACGAGTTTTACATATCATACTTTTAAGTATAATATATAAAAGGCTTTGCATAAAACAAACTTCTCGAATATTGAAAGCTAATTTTGAAGGGTGCATGTGTACGTTTATGGTTCAAGCAGCCGTAAGATTTGAAACTTGCCTCCTCACGCCGCCCATATTTAAAAATCTTCTTGTTTCTTAGTTTTTAATGTTGGCTGATTATTGAAACTTAGTAACATCCTGAACTAGATCTTAAAAACTTAGTCATAACATTTGAATCCTGGTTAATGATTTGATGCACTTTAGTGGGATTTTACAACAATCCACATTTACTTGGCTGCTTTTTTTATGTACTAAGATGTGGTACTTGTTTCTTTGAGGAGCTATTTGACCGATAACAATGCTTTTTTTTTTTTCCTGTAAAATGTTCTTTGCTACCATCAGCTTGTTAACCATTCTAGTTACTGCAGCATGGTTTTATTTGTCCAAGATGTTGGTCCAACTAATCAGACTTTCTGACTTTTTTTGGGTTGAATTAAGATTTTGTTTGTTCCTGCTGTTAAGATTACAGTAGAAAAGTTCAAGCATAACCTTCCTTATTTAAAAAAATTAAATATCATTTTTGTAAGCACTTTTTGTGCTGAATTCAGCTTAGTCTCAAATCTAGTATAACTTTCTATTTTGTCTAGATTACACCTCTCTCATTGTTTTCTGACATGGAAAGTACATGGCCATTTATCATGGCAGCATATATGAACTGCAGAACGTGTTGCATTTATCGTCCTGTTTTGTAATTTTGCTTATTTTACCGATTATTGCCTTGTAAAGTCAATACCGGTCACATTGCAGAACGTAAGATTGCCAAATTATTCCCTGGTTTGTTGTGAATTCTGTTGGTTATAGCTTGAAAGAGGTACTGTAACAAGATTTTCGTATACAACCCAATAGTTTACTGAAAGTTGACTCTTCGTTCTACTCCTTGTTCTAAAATAATCTCACATTTGGTACTTGGTTTATCCCAGTGAACTGCAATAGCATGTGACAAAACAAAAGGCCAGTTCTTCTTAAAATGCTGCCTGGCTATGTGTGGATTCTATATGCACTGGGTGTAAAGTCTGTTAAATGATTTTCACCATGTTTAGTGCAATTGAACATAACACCAGACAGCGCTTCAAAGTCCTGACTTTTACACTTTTTATTTTTTATTTTTAATTAAAATAAAAAATTATATTCATATTTCAAAGTCATGCAACATGGCTATCCCTAATTGTCCTGGAAATGTATTATCGAGAAATACGTCTTGGACGTTACAATTCTTGCCACTAATAGGCATTTGCTCTGTAGGTATCTTTTAAATTTCTAGAATTTTTAGTTTTTTTTTTTTTTCTCCTCTTTATTTTCTATTTTTTGTTACTTTTGCAATGACACCTCCACCGATTAGATTAGATTATGCTTCATATAATTAAAGGCTATTGCCGAGTTTCTACTTTTCACGTCTTTATTAGTATAGGATCTTATTTGTAGCTTTTGAGTGGTGAGCATATTGTGTGGCAAATGCTCTAAAGTCTTCGTGGTAAATTGAAGACAACTGGGATCAAAAAGAGTCATGTGTGAATTATTAGGATTTTCTGTGGCCTAAAGTGTATTCATTGTGTAGCTCCCAGCACACATTATCTCTGTGAACCTGTTAAAGTATTGTATTTTTTTGTTCTTCAGTAATAAGAGGCCTGTGTTTAGCAGCTGTTCCCTGGCATCTCATTGTTCCTATTTCTTTTCTTACCATATGAATGAATACCATATGGTCGAGTCTTCTAGTTTTACCCATTAAGGCATTAGGGACCTTCGACAATTATTTTGAATTCCTTTTTCTGAAAATCTGCTTTTTGTAAATCAAACATACAATTGGGTCATTAAATTAATACAAGTACTTGAGGAAATCACACATTTGTCTTCCCAGTGACATTGCCTTTCTAGGGCAGTGTAACGGTTTGTTCTTCAGCTTTGGGTATCATTTCTTCTTGTACAATGCTAGGCTTTTTAGGTGCTTCTTTTCATTAACTCTTTGCAGTAGTTCCTTACTGGTTTGTTTTTATATTCCATACTATACTTCTATTCTATTGCTTTTGAAACCTGGTTTGGTATATAAAATTAGTGGTGGGTCCCATCACCACCCCTTTTATTTCTTTTTAGAGCGCTTTTGAGCACACTGAAGGCGGTCTTTTTTGTTGTCACTTTAAATTTTGCATACTTTATAAGAAAATTTACTTAAGCATGTCTGTGCTTTTATCTAATCAATAAAGGACTCTAGCGTTGGTTATACAAATCACACAGCACTTGGCTCTCTGTGTCTGGCTTCGCTTCCTTGCCTGAGATCCTCATAGATAATTATAATTTTAATAACTAATTTTGAAGTGTATGTGGTACACTTATGGTCCAAGCAGCCATAAGATTTACAACTTGCCTCCTAACACACCGCCCATATTTCAAATCTCCTTGTTTCTTAGTGTTTATTGATTGGCTGATCATTATCGAAACTTAGTAACATTCGGAACTATGTTACTATCTCTATCCATTTTGATCATACTGGCAGAAATGCAAAATGTTAAAGGAACATACATCAGTTTGCGACAACTGGCTCATTCAAAAGCTTTAGCTTTTAGCGAGACAGTTGCCATATTCTGCAGGCTGAATTATTTTTTTTTTCTTCCTAATTTATTATTTTTTCATCATATTTACCTGCTTCTTCTTATGCTTTCCACACCAACTCCAGGGGGGAACACTGATGTAACCAGTGTTCTATCTCTAGGAATGCTGGAAAATTGCATTGGGCATGTCTGACAGATTTAAACATACAGCTGGAAGGTCTCTTCACACACAACACTCTGACAGGGGGAGAATAGAGGAAGTCTGATCAGGGTGATCATGCAGAGCAGGCTCCGCTGTCTGGTTTCTCTCTCCTATTGCTGCACTTGTATGCAACTAAGGTGGGTGGAGACAGAAAAAACTCCACTACCTAAGAAGCATGTCCATCAATGCAATCTGGCCAAGTTTATAGTATGTTTATAAACATTTATTGCACACTCTTGAAAGGTGGGGTTTTTTTTTTTTTTTTATTTTCTTCTTGCTTTCTTTTGGTTTGCTTGCTGGTTTAATAAAATAATTGTAGAAGTCTTGCATGTCCTTTTTAATCTGCATGAGACAGTCCTGAAACGGTCAACCCTCTTGCTGATTCATGCATGGCAGTTTGAAGCGAATGTAACGCAACAAAATGGCATGCACTACTAGTATCCGCTATTCCTCTTATTAAAGCGGCACTGTCATGCCGAATCCCGTTTTTTTTTTTTTTTAACCCCCCTCCCGCCTCCACTACATCCAATTGACCCACTAGTCACCTCCAAATGCCCCTAAGCCCCCCACATTACCTATTTTTTAATCCTTATTTTCTGCCCCGATCTTGATTCAGGGCGCCGCCATCTTTGTGGGGGTAGATGAAGTCCCTGTGGGACACGTCATCAGCCCACACTAGATAGACTGTGAGATTCCCGCACATGCCCAGTGAAACACCTGGACATGCGAACGGGAATTTAATCTATTCATTCATTCATCAGACAGACGAATGAGTGAATAGAAAGATCAGCCGAACAAACTAACACTGTGTATCAGTGTATCTGAGTATCAGTGTTAGTTTGTTCGTGCAGGTTATTACAAGGAGGGAGCTACCGGCGTGCAGCTCCCTCCTTGTAATATGTAACTATAGAAGCGGCAGGGAGCAGTGCTCCCCACCACTTCATAAGCCCCCCCAGGTCCCCCTCTCACTCTATAGGGGTCAATATGACCCCCATAATAGCACAAGGGAGATTAAAATCTCCCAAATGCCCCTGCTCGCTATACCGCGAGTAGGGGCATGTCTACTAAACAGTGAGCAGCCTGTGGCTGCTCACTGTCGAAAAAAGACATAAATTACAATAAGGGGGGGCGGACCTATTGTCCTCCCCCCCTCCCCCACCCTGAGCGGCGGGTGGGGGCCATAAAGATAATGGGGGGGGACCTACTGTCCTCCCCCCCCCGGCCCCCACCCCTGAGCGGTGGGTGGGGGCCCTAATAAAACAATAAGGGGGGGGACCTACTGTCCTCCCCCCCTGGCCCCCACCCCTGAGCGGTGGGTGGGGGCCCTTATAAAACAATAAGGGGGGGACCTACTGTCCTCCCCCCCTGGCCCCCACCCCTGAGCGGTGGGTGGGGGCCCTAATAAAACAATAAGGGGGGGGGACCTACTGTCCTCCCCCCCTGGCCCCCACCCCTGCGCGGTGGGTGGGGGCCCCAATAAAACAATAAGGGGGGGGACCTACTGTCCTGGCCCCCACTCCTGAGCGGTGGGTGGGGGCCCCAGTAAAACAATAAGGAGGGGGCCTACTGTCCTCCCTCCTTGGCCCCCACCCCTGAGCGGTGGGTGGGGGCCCTAATAAAACAATAAGGGGGGGGGACCTACTGTCCTCCCTCCCCCCCGGCCCCCACCCCTGAGTGGTGGGTGGGGGCCCTAAATGAAACACCCCCCCAATCAAGGTGACTAGGGGTCCCAAGCCCCTAGTCACCCCCACCCAAAAAAACCTATCCCCTACCTACCCCCCTCACCCTAAAAATAGTGAGGGGGAATAAAATAACTAACCTGTAAAAAAAAAAAATTAAACTTACCATTTGACGTCTTTTTTTTTTTCTAAAATCTTCTTTCTTTATTGTTTTATTGCTCTGACCAGCGGAAATGAAGCACACTTTGCTCCTCCGCTGGTCAGAGCTGGTCAAGCGGAGGAATCCTCCATAAGGCAAAGAGTCCCTTCTTTGTCTTATGATTTTAAAGAAAACTAAAGAAGACAGGAAGAAAAGAATAACAGATCCTGAGAGAGGGGGAGAAGAGGAAGAGATTGAGGAAAGGTAAGTTCGGCATGACAGTGCTGCTTTAAGCAATGCTTTTTGTGCAGACTTTTCAGGAAGCCATCTCTATGCACTGGGGCTTTATGGGAGTGCCGTACAAATTAACTGTCTAGCAGAAAAGCTAATACACAGTAGCAGTTTAGGCTGTGTCTTCATGATCCAATACTTTATCAGGGCACATGACTCTGGAGAATCAAAATAAGTCCCAGCTGGTCATTTTCTATACAGTGTAAATCCATTCTTTAAAGGGACACTATAGTCACCAGAACAACTACAGCTTATTTTATTTGTTCTGGTGAGTGAAATCATTACCTTCAGGCTTTTTGCTGTAAACACTGTCTTTTCAAAGAAAATGCAGTGTTTACATTACAGCCTAGTGGTAACTTCACTGGCCACTCCTCAGATGGCTGCTAGAGCTGCTTCCTATCTCAGTCTTGCCTAGTGTACATCACAACATATCAGTATCTCCTCCCTTTGCATGGAGACACTGAACTTTCCTCATAGAGATTAATTGATTAAATTAATCTCTTTATGAGGAGATGCTGATTGGCCAAGGCTGTGTTTGACTTGTGCTGGCTCTGCCCTGGATCTGCCTCCATCACAGTCTGTCAATACTATGGGGAAGCATTGTGATTGGCTCAGAACAATACTTCTGATGATGTCAGCAGACAGCTTTCTATTCTGAGGCAGACATGGGGCAGAGCCAGCAGCTTCAGGCTTGAACACATGTAGGATTTTACTATATTTAGGGAGGCAAGAGAGGGCCAGTGGGGCTAGATGGTGGTTTTAGCACTATAGGGTCAGACATATGTTTGTGTTCCTGACCCTATAGTGCTCCTTTAATGTCACACACATTATACCAAACATTTTGAGCAGTTCATCTTTCTTTCCCCCCCAACCCTTTACTTGTGAACACTAATTCAATTGCGAACTACAAAGAAGAGAGGAGAGTACAATTGAGAATGTATGGCTGTGGTTTTATCCTGTTTTCTGCTTAGTAGTTACAAAGAATGAATTGGTGCTTACATACTGTACAGCATGAACCTGCATTGAGGGATTATAAACTGAGATATGGAGAATTACATTTACCATTCTCTGCAACCCCCCCTCAGTGCTACCAAGTGCTGTAGTGGGATCTGAGAGTTTTACTGTTGCAGCGCTGAGTCAGTAACTTATACGAATCTTATACGAATCTAAATATGGAATCCCTTCCCAATTATTACATATGAAAACTTGCTATGACAAGTGTTGTGACTCCCTGGATTTTAAATCTTCCCCCTTTGAAGTTAAAAAGTAACCGTTCTTTAAAACACAACTCTATAGTTGTACTGAACCGAAAAAAGATTGCGGTTTATATACTTAGGTTTTAGATAACATCATTTGACAGCTCATCTTTTAGATGTAACCATCACCATGTCTATTTGCCATTCTTTTATAATCCGGTACACACTCTCCAAGCTGGAAAGATGCCTATTTAGGAATATTTTAAATTTGCACTGTTTCCACCAACCACTGCTGTACAATGTAAGGGGTAGAACTGCAATAATCATAAAATTAAATGTTAAAATTTTGGGGGGGAATGCATTGAACTAAATAGTGCTTTCACTAAACACACATCCTTAATGAATATTTTGTATAGGGGTTTGTTTAAGAATTCCTACATAAAGAGGATACACCAAACCTGTTAATGCTAGAATTGGAATTTAAGCTTACATTTGAGTTTCGTATCTGTCTGTTTAAGAAATACATAACTTTTATAGTTTAGATTTGTTACGTAGATTTTTTTTAATTTTTTAAATACAGTTTTCAAAAATGGCACTTTTATTTATAATTTTTTCAGGAGATAAATCTCCCCCTAAACTTGAACCATCTGATGCATTACCTCTACCTTCAAACTCGGAGACTAATTCAGAACCACCAACCCTCAAACCAATAGAACTCAATCCCGAGCAAAGTAAACTTTACAAAAGAGTCACATTTGATAATGAATTACATAGTACCACTGTCCAGAATGAAATGCTAAATGGACACAATCCAGAACATTTACTTAAGGACAGTAATCTCACTGAGTCGTCAGATTCTGAAGTAGCGGAATCATCAGCTGATGTAAACAGACGTACATCCATTCTCTTCCGCAAATCAAAAAGTGTAAGCCCCCAAAAGCCTGCAAAGAACGCTGAAACTCAGCCAACTTCTCCACAGCTAGGGACCAAAACCTTTTTGTCTGTAGTCCTTCCAAGGTTGGAGACACTCCTGCAGCCAAGGAAAAGATCGCGGAGCACGTGTGCAGATTCAGAAGCAGATGAGGAGTCCCCTGTAAAGCGTTTGGATACAGGTAAATACATTCATTTATTTCATGTACATAAGTTAAGCATGAACATGATATCATGGATACTGTAATTTTAACACAGTTTATAAAGCTGGTTATAAATATGTAATTTTACTCACAGATCCATTTAATATATTGATGTCTATTTATAGACAGTGTCCATGATGTCTCTCATTTTTATTTCTGCATTTCCTAGTTATGCCTGGAAAGTTGAATATTCCTTGTAAACATTTACACATTTGATTTCTAGCTTTTTACTTTTTTAATTTGATTTCTAATATTATTAAGGCAGTTGTATTAAAACCAGTAGTAGGAGTTCTCATTTATCACTTACATTTCATGTTAATTTGACTTGAGCATCACGATGTGTTCTAGATCTTCACTAAAGAACAGTCACCCCCTTCAAAATACTATTGCATACAAACTTTGTAATTGTGCTAAATTTAGTTTAAACTTGGCGAATCACAAGTGAAAAATCCAGAAAACGCAGAGCCCGTTTTGGTGTGTGGTTTTCTTTTTCTTTTTTATTTCACTTAACAGCATATATGTGTTCCCATTTTTAAAGCCATTAGGAAGTCAGATAATTTCTTTACAGCGGACCATCTCTTAATTAAAATACTTTTATTTCCTTTCAACTGCAAGTCTTATTTAAAATTTAAAATCAATGAAAACCAATCTGAAATTAAAATAAAATGCTTAACCATTGTATCATATATAATAAATATATTATAGGTAGTGATGTCCCAAACTGTTCGCCGCGGACGGCGAACATATGTCCCAGACCCTCCCACCTCGTGGACAGCATCCATTTTACATTCATTGTGAAGCTGCATTCTTAGTGAGCTGTCCAGGAGGTGGGAGGGAGGGTCTGCTGCTGATTGGCTGGAATGTGTCTGCTGACTGTGAGGTACAGGGTCAAAGTTTACTCAATGATGACGAATAGTGGGCGGACTGAACAGCGCATATGTTCGCCGTCCGTGGCATCACTAATTATAGGGATACTCTAAACACCAAAACAACTTTTAACTTAATGAAATGATTTTATTGTATAGATTGTGGCTTTACAATCTCACTGCTTTTGGTGCTTAGTGTCTATTTAATTCTAGATTTAAACATATGTTTACATAATACTTTAAATATTTGACTGTAAAAATACACATTTCTGTATTATCATTGTCTTTAAGACCCCACTTCTTCTATTAGGAGCAATATTGCAGTTATGTGCGGCCACTACCTTTGATCATGTCTAATGTTGTTTTTTTCTTCTCTCAATTGGTTGAGGTCTTGTGTGGGATTTTTTTTTTTTTTTTCCTACCAGAATTGAATTCTCTGTATGTTAGCTAGTATGTATCAGTATCTGACCACTTGCTATTATATAGAAAAACATGTTGCAGTTGAATAGGCAGAAATGGTGCAAATATGGTGTCGTTATTCGCAAATTGATACAGAAATATTTTGGTAGTCTTGTACTTTGTTGTAGAGATGAAATCTCAAGTCTTCCCAGACCTGTTAGTTAGATTGTGCCTGCATAAAGTTAGCACTGTTCCACATATTACTCTGCTTTTAACACCATGTTGATCTAGTTAAATTTCCAGCATTTTTAAGGTAGTGCTATAGGAAGCAGGGTTTTTACTCAAGAGAAGTTGCATTGGTTTTTGAGCAGCTGCTGTGATTTTGTCATGTTAATCTAAGTTTGCAATTGGTGTACTTATCATTTCCCCCCTACCCCTTTATGTGAATGTGCCAATTCTTAAACACTTATAAATTGGCAATACCAACGGTCGCATGGCTGTTTCTTGGTGGAGCCAGATGACTTGTCTGTAAAATATTGCCAGTAGGCTTAAGAAAACCATTTTGTCGGGTGGCAATGAACCATTTCTGTTTTAGTATACATGTAAATGAACTCTGTCTATATAGGAAGCTGTCTCGATTCACTGCTGCCTGCACATACATGCTGGACTTCATGTGACATCTGACATTGAGCCTTGGGAAGCATTACTATTCCCCTTGGTACAAAAAGCTTGAGAAAGCAAAATGATTAAGCCACTTACCATGAATTCACAATCTTTAAGTTGTGTAAAGTTGGCTTCCCTCAATAGTTCATACCTACTCATTTTGAACATGCATAATTAAATTAAGTCAAATTTTTTTGTACTTTTTTTTTGTATTAGGTTTACGATAGCTTTCTTTTAATGTAATATTATGGAAACCTTCATATGCACTATGCTGTTTAAAATGCTATGTAACATGTAGCAATGTTAGTAGGATCTGTGTAGTGTGATGGCCCCTCCAAATCAAAGAAGACTACAAATACTAGCCATTTCCAATCCACCGTTACTCCTTTGCTGTTGGATATTAAAAGGATACTCTAGTCACCCAGACCACTTCATCTCATTGAAGTGGTTTGGGTGCACTGTCCCTGTCACACTTAGTCCTGCATTGTAAAACATTGCCGTTTTTGAGATTGCAGTACGAAGACTGCTTCTAGTGACCGTTTACTAGACAGCCACTTGATGCGCTTCCAGAATTTGAAAGAAATTTACGTAGCCTAACTGACAGTGGACATCTTCACGTTCTGCAGCATCTGTGAAAACCCAAATAGAAAAGCATTGATTTGATGTTTTATGTGGAGGGCATATACCGCTCGCCACGCATGCACATTAGCCACCTGCTGGATGACGTTTGAAGAGGCGCTGAGGGACATTGGTGCTGGAATCGAGTAATTGTAGACAGTACTGTATTGGCTTTGTGCTGAGACGAATAGTACAATAAATATCTAAAAGTGGATAACCACTTATAAATATTTGGAAGGTGATTTACAAAACCGCAAAAAGTTTATGTATAAAATACAGTTATGGGCCCATGTTTTATAATGAAGAGAAAAATGACATGTTGTGCTGGGTCAGTACTCTTGGACAACTCTGACTCAAGATTTCTTCGTACTTTGAAATGTATGTGAACAGACTCATGGCACCGACACAACTGCATTAATAGGCCTTGATCTCTTATTCATGCTGCATTTTTTTCACATTACAATCTAGTTAACCGTAAAAATAGTTTTCCCAATTTTAGCCCCTTATTAGCCTATTTATATTCACTTGTATTATTGCCTGGAGTGTCTCTTTAAATTAATATTTGCAGTCAAGGTGCTGTTATGGACTCTGTTTGATTTGGTGCTTTGAAACCTAAAATTGGTGGCATGGGACTCGGAATTATTTGCTAAATTCCTAAAAGGCATAATTTTAAGGAAAAAGTGCAGATGTGTATTTTTTCTTCTTAACTTTCAAATCTCCAACTTTGCTTTAGTTGATGCTTGGCTATTTTAGCTTAAATCTTAATTTGGTTTTCAGTTACCTGCAGTTGGATGTTTAGAGAATATAGACAGTTATGTCTAAAGCAATTTAAACTGTGAAATGTTTCTCTTCTAACATGTAATATGTTTAAGAATGTAACACTTGAGTTTCGTATTTGTTCAGAGATTGGAATAGGACATACAAAAAATATTATTAAAGGGACACTCTGGGCACAAATACAACTAAAATGCATTTGAAAAGTTTTTGGCTTCATTAATTTGCCGTATTTTTTTGCTTGCTCATACCTTGATAGTTTTTGCAAAAACAATAAATGTTTTGCAGAATACTGCATCATAAGCTTGCTTTCTTAGCCAAACTCGTTCATACCGGAAATACTTCCTTATCAAATATCTGCACACACAGGTCAGCCACTGACAGCACTGAGTGATCTAAACTGCAAAGCAACCAGCATTCAAATATTAGGAGAGAACACTCAGAGAGACATTAAGGATATCACTACCTGTTAGTAGTTTCTCGGTCTGCAGCCAGATTGAGCTTAAAAGCCACTCACTCAGTGCTGTTGAGGGCTGGACTGTTGAGATACACAGATGAGGAAGTCTTTCTGGCATGACTGGGTGAGGTTTGTGGTACACTTGCATGCAAAAAATAAAGTGCATTAAAGGAACACTATAGGGTCAGGAATACAAACATGTATTCCTGAACCTATAATTTTAAAAACATGATCTAGCCTCTCTGCTTCCCCTTGCCCCCCCATAAATATAGTGAAATCTTACCTTTATTCCAGACTGCTGGTACTGGCTCTGCCCCTGACCTGCCTGCTTGGCTGAAATCATCAGAAGTGGTGTTCCTAGCCAGTTACAATGCTTTCCCTTTGGAAAGCATTGGGTTGGCTGAGATTGTGAAGGAGGCAGATCAGGGGCAGAGCCAGCACAAGTCAAACCTAGTCCTGGTCAGTCAGCATCTCCTCATAGAATCAATGCATCTCTATGAGGAAAGTGCAGTGTCTCCATGCAGAGGGTGCAGTGGAGGTGTCCCTAGGCTGTAATGTAATCTAATCACTCTGAAAAGAACGTGTTTACTGCAAAATACCTGCAGGGACTGACTAAACTCACCAGAACTATTACATTAAGCTTTAGTTGTTCTGGTGCCTATAGTGTCCCTTTAATGAAAATCAAATCAAATGCATTATAGTTGTATTTGTGTCAAGACTTTCCCTTTACAGGAGTTTCCTATGGCATTCATGGATGTCACATGACATTTGTGTGTGTGTGTATATGTATAAATGTATGTATATATAGTGGAATTAATCTTCTACTCTAACCTTTAAGTTTAAAGACACATTATACCTCACTGGCCATTCATTTTTATGTATTTTTTTTTTTTTAACCTTTGCCGTTTTATTTATTTTGTATATTTCCCCTAAATGCCATCCCCCCAACTGCATGCATTCAGTAATAACTGTCTTTATGTTTGCGTGGCAAAATACAGCATGTTTCAATTTGTGTTCATTCCTAAACAGAAAAAAGAGCTGACTCCATTGCCAGTAAAGACCTGTTTTTTACTATTTGTGGAAAACATCAGGTATCTTAAAGGGATTCCAAAAAACTGTGAACTATTTTGGACCTGCAACAGTTTACCCAGTGGTTTTACATGAAACGTGAAAGCCTAGAAAACTCCTTATATGGAATGTTGCCTAACATAGAAGCCAAAAAGGCATTTATACAAACATTTATTGAGAAGATGTAACAAACAAATCATAAGCTGAAAGGACAGATTCATTTATTGGAGTAAATTCTGCAGCAAACTCTTGCCTTTTATACGATTCAACACTTTTTACATCGAGCAACTTACGGTTTCATACTATACAGCATTATGGACTATTGTCTACCTCGCTACATTCATCTAGATGCCTTAAAACATTTTCCTACCTTCCCTTTTTTACTGTCTGTACTGGCTTTTGCTTCGTACTCTTAACCAGTAGGAGTTAGTTTGGAAAATATATTTGTAACAAGTGCAATTACGTTCTTGTACATTTTTTTTTTTTTTTTTAGATATGTATTTCAAATGTGTTTAAAACCTTTTTAGACAGATGCAGATCAGAATTAAGCTGGATTGGCATTGTTTTCTGTGTGTGAACTGGGTAATTCATAAATTGATACCATCTATGTGTGTAGATACTTTTAGATTTAAAAAATAAAAAAGAAAAGTATAAATCTGAATATGTAAGCCAATAAAAGACTATTTTTTTTACCATATGTAGGGAGTTTTTATTTCAAAGGCATTTACTTGTATAATTAAGAGTGTAGCAAATTGTATTTTTTGATTTCATTTTTTTTTTTAAATGTATCTCTCCCACCCCTTGCGCACACAATTTCATATCAAAGTGCTTTTTAAAATTATGAACCCAGGTGATATATACTGCTATAATGCTGTAACACTAAGACTATTTCCCACATCTGTACAATGAAGGCAGAGCAAGCTTTTCTGGGAGTTGGGGTTTTTAATTTTATTTTTGTGTGTATTTTGGAAATGTACTCCTAAGCTCTATAAAGCAAATCATATCCCTAAGTTTTATTTCATTGGGATCTCTGCAGAGTAGCATTCCACCTAGTCCCTAACTTCAATGTGGTATTTTCCTCTATTTTGTCAGGAGCTCATGAAACATTAGTTTCAGAGTTGGCTCTGAATTTAGCACTTTAATTGTACATGACGTAAAGGTTGATTCACATAGATTTCAGTACAAAGTGTATTGTAATGAACACGTTACAGATTTAATTTCACACAATAAAACCTGTTTTTTGTTTTGTGTTTTTGTTTTGTTTTGTTTTAGTTTTTTTGTGTGTCAACCAACAGTGTTTTTATAGTCTTGATCTATATACTATGCACGAATACATAAATATCTCACTGGCAGCAATGTTACATTATTTTAATCATTCAGAGAGATTTATTGTAAATATACAGAGGTCTGTTTCCCTTTTTTATGAAGACTTCTCTAATGGAGCCCTGGATTAGCTGCTATCATATCCCAGATATCTGCTTCCAATATTAAATTAAACTGGGCTCTTCTATTAGCAGACCATGCCAGAATAGAGATATAAAGATGTATTTTTATAATGTTGCATTCAACAGTTTTAAAGGAACAGTCCAAGCTCCATAATCCTTATAGCTGTAGTGATTATAGTGACAGGAGTGCCTTGGTGTTTTTTTTTTGTGTTTTTTTCACTGTAAGTAGTCTTACACTAGTCTTAATCTTAGAACGGTTTGACTTTTTAGCTGGGGTCTTCAGGGCAACTCTCCTCGCTTCCACTACTTCTGACGGCTAGCCATAAGCTTCTAAGCAGGAGTTTCCATTCTCCTGAGTTAAGTCCTGTAGTGCATGGCTAGCACATTGACTGAGAGCGCCAGCGGCTTCCTCTCAGCCAACAAGTTACATCCGGCACCTCAAGACTTTGCTCAGAAAGCTTCTGTTTGCCTGTTGGAAGGACTGGAGGCAGCAGACTTAAGGTAAGAAGTCAAACCGTTCTAAAATAGTTTTTCTATTTAGAGTGGGAACTACGGTGCACTCTACTGGTTATGGTGCTTGCAGAGTTCAGGTATTTTAGTTCTCAGAAAGCTCCTCTCTTCAGAATAGAAAAATAAGAGACCAACAGTTTTTTGACACAGATACACACATAGAAATAAATGTAGAATAAGTAATTTATATAGTTTACGAAAAGGAGTCCATGGAATTGTTAAAAAGGCACTGTCACCATCTGGGGACTTTGCAGAATTAGCAATGGGGGCAGGTAAAGGGAATTCTACTTACCTGACCCTGTCCCACTGGGGCACGGCCATCTTACTCTGGCGGGTCATCTTCAGCACCAGGAGCCGACATCACTGCTTTACTCTCACGCCTGTGTGAGAGTGTACAGCATTGAAATCTATGGAGGATCCAACAAGATGGAGGGTCCCTCCACAGCCAATTTCCTGCAGCAGTCACTGATGATGGCCAGGGGGATTGGCACTTCTAGATGGCAATAGCTCCGCTTGGTGTCTAAAAGTGTCAGGCGTAGAGGAAATACTGACACTAAGTTGTCCCTACTTTGACTCAATATATCTCTGGACTGCGTTGAAATTTCAGTGAAAGTCTAACACAGTCTCAATTAGTATTTCATAAAGATGATATCTCCATGAAATACTAATTTTTCAGGAGGTGACAGTGCCACTTTTAACTTATTTTTCATTAAAAACCCATACCAAGAGGCATCTATGTAGCTATTGTGCTGCTAGTGCCATTATGTTCAGTCATGCGCAGAGCCCTGTGATGTCTAAGGATTTCTGGAGTTGCCTAGCATGTTCTCTGTTGTCTGAAAACGGGCCTTTTGTTATCACAAATGAATTTTGATCCACATATATCAAAAAGGCAGTTAATGGAACTGGGTATCGTAGGCCTGGGTACGTAAAAATTCAGTGCGATTTATTGCTAGGTTTGTATGCCTTCATTTAAATACTGTCAATTTAAGGTTATTATATTGTTAAAAATCAAAACCTGGAACTCTCATTGGACCCAGTCATGTTTTCTGTATCACACTATTAATTAGATCCTGCTGGTACATGTTGTGACTGCATATTTCTACCTGTTTTCAGGTCTCGCTAATGGTTATGCAGAAGGCGAGAAGGCAAAGGACTTTGATATAGGTCGAAGTCGGAAGATGGAACCTCGGCGACGTTGTGCGTCAGAATCCAGTATCTCTTCAAATAGCAGCTTGTTGTGCAGTTCGAGGTAAGGCAACATTCTACACCAATGTTGTTTTTTTGTCTAAAGTTATTTTAAATGTTTCATGTATTTTTGTTACTTTGACCCCCTTTTTATTCCCCCCCCCCCCTTCCATTTTAATAAATTGGTGTTATTTTTCAGTTTTAGTTTGCCAAAATGTGGCAAGGGCAAACCAGCTCTCATACGACGCCACACCATAGAAGACAGAAGCGAATTAATATCTTGCATAGAAAATGGGAATTACGCAAGAGCAGCCCGAATTGCAGCAGGTATGTAGCTCATTGTGGGCAAAATGCCAAATTATGAGGTTTCATAAAGAAAAAGTTTTCATTCTGTTGACCAAGATCTTGCACATTACCAGTTTAGTAGGCTATCTTTAATTTAAAACCAAAAGCTTTTCCACCCAACAAATACACTAACCTACATAAATACATAAATATTTTTACGTATTTGTTGGTGGCTGAAGTCTCCTTTAAGAAGCAGTCCTCAATATTTTTTTCATCTTTTCTTTAGAGGTTGGGCAGACTAATATGTGGGTCTCTGCAAGTGCAACTGCGTCGTTTCTCGAACCATTAAAAGTTGTGTGGGCAAAGTGCAGTGGATATCCTTCTTATCCAGCATTGGTAAGTAAACCCGTTTAATATTGTATGAATAGAATAAATATATATTATATTAAAGTGGTGATCTGAAAAATAAGACCATACATCGCGTGTGTGTAAATCTTTCCATGCACGTTGTGATGTGTGCCTGACCCTTTCAGTTTCTATTTCTATTATGTTAGAATCCGAAATGGGGTGTGTGTATTTCCATTAGCCTTTGACCAATGATAATTTAACCCTAACTAGTAAATACATATCCTTGATTTGGGACACTCTAGCTTGCATCTGTGAATAACTTTCATGGCCTGACTAGCGGTTTGTGTGTGTATACATTTTCTTATTTTTTTTTTTTAAATATATGAATATCTGTTAATGTTCTAAGCTAATTTTTTTCTTTAACATAAGAATTAACATCTATCCTAGAGGCAATACTAGTCTGCAAAAACTGCTGTTTTTGTTTACATTTAGCAGAAGTGTGTTTGTGTTTTTTTTTTTTTTTTGGGTGGGGGGGTTCCCAATATACTCCACTATTAGAGAGCGCAAATGGAAGAGGCACAGTAAGAAAAAAATTCTCAAAAAGAACCCTAACTTTTATTGAGATCTAATGTTTAAAAAAGAGAGAAACCAAAAATAGCTCTGTATTAAAAGGGTAGAACTGAGTCTGTGGGATAGAGGAGGAAGGTGGAATGAGACAGATAAATTTGCAGCTATGTAAATGGTATCCACCTCTGGGCAGGTAAGTTTTTCTCAATGGGGCAAAAAAACAACAAAAAAAGTCCTCTGATATCCAACCTAATAATAGTCTGAGCCAGCGTCTCAATAGGTCATTCTACAGGCAAGTATAATGCTCTGATAAGACTCCACCATCTAAGAAAAAAGACTCCACTTCCAAACAAAAAAAAACATTTTAAAGATTAAAGTAAAAAGGGAACAACTCCATAAATATCCTAAGGGAGGGCTACAGGTACATACAGAATATAAATATCCTAGACTGTGTCCCAGTCCAGCACACAGACTAATAGCCAGAGATACAGAGATCCAAAAAAATCAAAGAACAAAGTAGTTGCTGTCCCTGTTTACTTCGGCATCTCACAAAGCTAGCGCCTACCTGATTATTTGGATCTGCATATGTCTGGCATTTAAGGGTCACCCCCATTTAGGGAGCACAAATGTTGTCCTCCAAATAGGTGAGATGCTGTGATACCACCCCCTAGTTTAGGAAGGATAGGCAATCACTGCATCTCCTTTCGTGTTACTGTCATTTATTGTTATACGGTATCTCACAAAAGTGAGTACACCCCTAACGTTTTTGTAAATATTTTATTATATCTTTTCATGTGACGACACTGAAAAAATTACATTCTGCTACAATGTAAAGTAGTAAGTGTAAAGCCTGTATAACAGTGTAATTTTGCTGTCCCCTCAAAATAACTCCACACACAGCCATTAATGTCTATACCGTTGGCAACAAAAGTGAGTACTAAGTGGAAATGTCCAAATTGGGCCCAATTAGCTATTTTTCCTCCCCGTTGTCATATGACTCGTACAAGGTCTCGGGTGTGAATGGGAAGCAGGTGTGTTAAATTTGGTGTTTTCGCTCTACACATTCTCATACTGGTCACTGGAAGTTCAACATGGCGCCTCATGGCAAAGAACTCTGAGTATCTGAAAAAGAAAATTGTTGCTCTACATAAAGATGGCATAGGCTATAAGAAGATTGCCAAGACCCTGAAACTGAGCTACAGCACGGTGGGCAAGACCATACAGCGGTTTCACAGGACAGGTTTCAGTCAGAACAGGCCTCGCCATGGTTGACCAAAGAAGTTGAGTGCACGTGCTCTGCGACATATCTAGAGGTTGTCTTTGGAAAATAGACGTATGAGTGCAGCCAGCATTGCTGCAGAGGTTGAAGGGGTGGGAGGGTCAGCTCAGAACATTGCCGCACACTGCATCAAATTGGTATGCATGGCTGTCAGCCCAGAAGGAAACCTCTTCTAAAGATGATGCACAAGAAAGCCCGCAAACCGTTTGCTGAAGACAAGCAGACTAAGGACATGGATTACTGGAACCATGTCCTGTGGTCTGATGAGACCACGATAAACTTATTTGGTTGAGATGGTGTCAAGCGTGTGTGGCGGCAATCAGGTGAGGAGTACAAAGACAAGTGTGTCTTGCCTACAGTCAAGCATGGTGGTGGGAGTGTCATGGTCTGTGCCTGCATGAGTGCTGCTGGGGAGCTATAGTTCATTGAGAGGAATCATGAATGCCAACATGTACTGTGACATACTGAAGCAGAGCATGATCCCCCTCCCTTCGGAGACTAGGCCGCAGGGCAGTATTCCAACATAACCCCAATCATACCTTTTAGACGTCCACTGCCTTGCTAAATTAGCTGAAGGTAAAGGTGATGGACTGGCCAAGCATGTCTCCAGACCTAAACCTGAGCATCTGTGGGGCATCCTCAAAGGAAGGTGGGGGAGGGCTCTGTGATGTCATCGTGGAAGAGGATTCCAGTGGCAACCTGTGTAGCTCTGGTGAACTCCATGCCCATGAGGGTTAAGGCAGTGCTGGAAAATAATGGTGGCCACACAAAATATTGATACTTTGGACCCAATTTGGACATTTCCACTTAAGGGTGTACTCACTTTTGTTGCCAACGGTTTAGACATTAATGGCTGTGAGTTGAGTTATTTTGAGGAGCAGCAAATTTGCACTGTTATACAGGCTGTACACTTACTACTTTACATTGTAGCAGAGTGTCATTTCTTCAGTGTTGTCACATGAAAAGATATAACTAAATATTTACAAAAATGTTGAGGTGTACTCACTTTTGTGAGATACTGTATATGAACCTCAGCAGATTATAGGAATGGTTAATAGCATGGCTTGAACTTTCTAGGAGTAGGAGGCAGTTATGGGGTTGTTTAAAGGGACACTAACCCACATAAATGCCTCCGACTCCTAGAAAGTTCGAGCAATGTTTTACAATACAGGATTTTATGACACTGCATTCAGATCACATGATCCCATTGAAGTGGTCTGAATTCAGTGTCATTAAATCCTGTAATGTAAAACATTGCTGCATTAGAGAAACGGCAATGTTTACATTGCAGCACTAAGACAGCCTCTAGTAGCAGTCTACCAGACAGCCACTAGAGGCACTTCCAGGAGTTTACCGGACTTTAGTTCGCCTGACACTGAATGTCCTCACTCTCTTAATGAGGACATCCAGCGTGTCTGAAATTCCCGTAGGAAAGCATTCAAGCAATTCTTTCCTATGGGGAAGACCCAATGTGCTTGCAAGAAAAAATATTTATATAAAAACAAACCTCCTACTGTAACCTGATCTACACCTTTTACCTAAATTTCACCTTTATGACTTAATATACACATTGCTGTTATTAAATTTGAAAAATCCTGTTACGTATCTTCCTGCAAAAGCCAATAAAGTCACTTGGCATAATGTAATAAATAAATTAAATAACAAAATCATAATGCATTTGATGCATCCTGCGATTTTAAAATACAAACCCAGTTTTGTCTAGTGCTTGCAATGTCTCCCTCTAGTGGAAGCTGCTTCATGTGTTCTCCTATACATATATATTTACTTTACCTCTTCAACTCTACGAACCACTGACTCCTGAATGTATGTGTCAACTTACAAAGTTTGTTGCACTTAACTCTCTTCCCTACTATAAAAACAAGCATGATGGGGATTTCTAGAACATAACCTTAATGGTTGGTTGTACTTTACATACCTTTTCACTATACCAAACAATTTATATTTCGTGTGCATTTACCGGTAATAACTTGATTCACATTTCTTGCTTATGTGACTAGTAATATTAATTTCCTTTATCTTAGATAATTGACCCTAAGATGCCCCGTGTTGGTTGTCATCACAATGGTGTTGCTATCCCAGTGCCCCCGCTGGATGTTTTGAAAACTGGAGAACAAATGCAGACAAGGGCTGAAGAAAAGTTATTTTTGGTTTTATTTTTTGATAATAAGCGAAGCTGGTAAGAGCAGTTACATATAATGCAACCTTTCAGTTTTGCCACCTCTTAATTTACGTATACTTAGTCCTTTGAGATCTTTTTGCAGTATGTTCGTCTGTGTAAAGGGATTTCCCCAAATTGTGTATGACTCTATGTTTTTCAGATTTAGCTTTCCCCCCTTTTAATTAAAAGGTAAGCAAGACTTCTGTCTGTGAGAATTAGCGTGAGCTGCTAAAACCGGTGCAAACGGTTTGTAGCTGGTCCATTATTTTTTTTTTTTTTTTAAATTTTTTTTTTTTAGTTAGTATGATTGCTTGGGTATGGTGCTTGGCTCACAGATGCATCCTAAAATTCTGATAGTTGGCAAACACTAGACAGATGAAACTTATGGGATTCTTAAAGCTAAAACGGGCCGCAAGAGAACACTGAGAACAGGCAACACCAACTCAAATAGCTTGCCCTTTGGGTCCCTGCTCAGATCTCAAACCCAGTCCTTGCTCATTCTGCCTAGACCTCCCTACACCTTATTGACTAGGCGTAACTAGGCTGAAACGATTATCTGGAGTTGCTGTATGTTTTGTGCAGAGATAGTTGGCCTGCATTTTGCATCTAGACTTCACTTTTGTATGGGATATGTCTGATATGTAAATGGTTTAGGTTCTTTCTGTAATTACACAAGATGAGCTAAAACCAGCTTGACATGAGTGGTGAACAACTGAACGGCATCCTTTAGTTCATTTGCTGTCCATATGACACTTATTGTTTTAATGATAATGGATCAAGTTAGAGCAATGTGCTGGGTGTGGAGGGGCAAGCTATGCAGAAAAAAATAAAAATTCTATTTTCATCTCATTGCAATTTGACTTGATGAAATTGATATGAACAAGCTGCCCTCTTTCTGTACTGACACGCACAACACCTGTAGGCAGGTACCTTATTCCTGCTAAATGTAACTGACTTTTTTTTTTTAATGAAATCTAAAAACTTATAGTTAAGATTCTGATGTTTTATTATGTTATACTAATATATATATATATATTTTCTTAGGCAGTGGCTCCCAAAGTCAAAGATGGTTCCCCTTGGAATTGACGAAACCATCGATAAATTGAAGATGATGGAAGGAAGAAATTCAAGCATTCGAAAGGCCGTACGGGTTGCTTATGACAGAGCTGTGAACCATTTAAGCAGGGTTCAAGGCGAATCAGTTAGTGACTTTAGCGATATCGATTGACTGCTGAAAGGACACAACGAGCCTCACAAACTGTTTATCTAAGCTTTACTTCTAACCTCTTCCTCTGAAAGAATGTATTGAAGATCTGATTCCCAGTCACGGAATGGGTGAAGATGTTTTGTTATGGAGCATGCACCTTGCTGCCGTTCTCATGATTTTATCCATTTCCTGTAGTTCAGAGGAGCTTCCACTAAAGTTGTTAAATGTCATGTTTATAGTGTTCATAATCTGTATATAACTGTATATTGGGGGAAAATTAACTTATTCAGACTTTTGAGGTAGTTCTTAAATTCCCTAGGCTTTTGCCTTTTTTCTTTTTGAAGTTTTTTTTTTTTTTTTATTCTAAATGTAGATTTTGTTTTAAAATGTAAAACAAAGGGTTGAATCTTAGCACCACTTTACACAAAGAAATTTTTTTTTTTTTTTTTGTAAAACTGCTAAATTGGAAAGAATAGCTATGTTTAAAATATATTTAATACATTCTGCTACCTAGCGTGTCCATTCTCATATTTTGACTACTGTATTTAATGGAATATTTTAAAAGATGCAATGACCATGCAGAAGAGTACAATGTGCTTATAAAATATGCATTTATTTTATTACAACGTCTGAAGAATGCACTGGCATTAAAGTATTATATATAGTATATTATGTATCATGACTCCTTTAAAAATCCTCCCAGCAAAGTCTATATTTTTATTTTTCATATAGGACACTAAACTTTTTTATTTAGAAAACATTTTTGTTTTTCTGCAGAACTCTAAATATAATTCTTTGAAAGTATTTCCAAAACAATTTGAATTTGGTAGATTGCAAAATTAACATTACCTTCAAGTTTTTCTGCTGAAGCAGATTTCTTTTCAATACATATATATATATATATATAGAAGTATATAGATATACATTTTTTTTTAATTTTTTTTTTTTTACAATATGGAGAAGTCTTATTCAGCACATGGTTCTCTCTATAAATCCACTACTCCCTTAGATTTATTTTTTTTGAAAATACATAAATATAAATATATAAATTTAATTATATGTGCCAGAGTTTGTTGTTGAAACTTGCGTTGAAGAAATTAATTTAGAAAACTTTTATTAACGTGTATTTTATTACAGGTGAATACATATGACAACTGGCTTTGGGATAAGTATGCATCAAAATCTGTTGAGAAATATACTTTTTTTTTTTTTTTCTGTAGGTTTACTTTTTTTTTTTTTTACATTCCTGTAAAAGAAAAAGTTTTATGTAACCTGTTAAAATTTAGAAAAAGCTTGGTAGCAATAGAACCTTTTGGATACACTTTGTATGGTACACGTGTTGTATATAGAACTATTACTTTTATTTTTTTGAAACCTAAAGCATTATGTTAGTGTGTGTGTGTGTGTGTGTGTGTATGTATGTATGTGTGTGTGTGTGTGTGTGTGGGTTTTTCAGGAGCTACATTTTTATATTAAAATAAAAAAGTCAAGATTTTGATGTACTGAAGCATTCTGGTGCCATACTCTTTTTAGGTGTAATATAAAGGTTTATAGGTGAACAAACCAAAAGAAGTGATAATGACCAACATTGACCACTTTACCTCTGTATATATTATTGCTAACAGAAAAAATAAAAGCAGGTGCGCCGTTTCAATTATTCAACAAAGTGTTTTTTAGTTTCCACTCTTCATAGAAGGCATGCAAGATGTTTTTCAACATGAAATGTGCTTAAACAAATTGAAAAAAAATCTTTTTATTTTTATTTTTTATTTTATTTATTTATTTATTTATTTTTTTAAATACTATTGAACAATGTTGCTGTGTTATATGAAAGGATTCCCAATCGTGGTAAAGATTGTTTGTATAGACTAGTCTGCGGTTACACCGGCACATGACACTGCCCAAAAGGGAAGTTTATATGCTGTATATTAAACAGTTTGCAGAGTTTATACCCAGGTTGGACAAACGCATTTAGACTTTTTGGCAACTTCCAATTCAGAGATTCACAAAAAACTGCTACTAACTTTACCCCATGCAACAGCAATTTCATGCACTCAAGTATTTTATATTGTGCACATTCTCCCCCTATCCATATCCATCCCACTCGCATTACATAAGACATTGCTTCCACCAACCACAATTTAGCTTTCATTTCCAACCTACAAAATGCATATTAAAGGATCACTATAGAGTCAGGAACACAAACATGTATTCCTGACCCAACAGGGTTAAAACCACCATCTAGCCCCCCTGGTCCCCTCATGCCTCCCTAAAAATAGCAAAATCTTTCTTGTATTCAAGTCTGTAGCTGCTACATCTGTCCCTGTTTCCTTTAGACCTGCCTGCTGACATCAGCAGAAGTGGTAGCCTTATCCAATCACAATGCTTCCCCATAGGATTGGTGAGACTGACAAAGAGGCAGATCAGGGTCAGAGCCAGCACTATTTAAACACAACACTGACAAATCAGCATCTCTTCATAGAGATGAACTGAATCAATTAATCTCTATGAGGAAAGTTCAGTGTCTGCATGCAGAGGGAGGAGATAATGAATGTTTGGATACATTTTAGGCAGCCATGACCCAGGAAGGATCTCTTACCGCCATCTGAGGAGTGGTCAGTGAAGTTGTAAACCCTGCATTTTCTCTGAAAAGACAGTGTTTACAGCAAAAAGCCTGAAGGTAATGATTCCAATCACCAGAACAAATTCAATAAGCTGTAGTTGTTCTGGTGACTATAGTGTCCCTTTAATATATGTATTTCAAAGCAGTTTTTTGTTACGGGGAGAATTTCTGTTGCGGCTCATCATGCAAGGCGTGCCATGTCTCTACATCAGTTGTGCACTGTCTGATTATGATTGCTGTTCTCTTGTGATTTGGTTGGCTGAATTAATCTGATCAACTTGCGAGTTTCACAGACCACTCCGATTCCTTGGCAAAGAGAAAAGCTGATATTGCTGTATTTGTCAGTAGAGCCTGTACAGGTTCTCTCTTGGTCCACAATGCTTACCTATTTAGAAATGGTCTCATCTTCTCAGTTGGATCATACCTTCAAGCACTGACGAGAGAGACTGCACCCTGAGACTGATTGTGACCAGCTCCCATCACTTACCAGTTGTTTTAGTTTATTTTGGACCATCAGCAGTTCTTTGCATTAGCTTGTCACATATGACCTAATTACACATTTCTAGCTACTGTATATTCTGAACTACGGATGCTTCAGAGAAATTGTTCCATTCAGCTTGGGGAATTCTGAGAAACTACATGAAACAGACATCCAACTAGCTATCATGCAGTAGAAAACAAGATGCAGATTCCATGTTGAAACTGCAATAAGTAATATAGCTTGTATTCATTCTTGCTGGTGTGAAACAATTAGAGCATAATCCTGTGCCTCTTTAAATACATTGTAAACCATTCCGATTTTATACACAAACACTTAGTGACTACCCTCAAGCTTATCGTTCTTCTACTGTCTTCCTCTTTAAGACTCTGTTCTTTTCTTCATTACTGATCAATTTCACTTTAAAACATAAGACAAAGTAGGGGCTAATTTGTATTATGTATTGTTCCTACACTTGGCATTGTTGACAAAGGGTGGAGATTAAGGAAAGCTTCACCCTTTGTTAGTTTGACAAATAAGTGGAGCTTGTGTTAAGTTCCACCCTTTGTCCCCATTACCAAATGTAGAAAGATTAAGACAAATGTAGTCCCTACTTCGTCTTATGTTTTAAAGAAAAATAGACAGAATGAAGAAAATAACAGAATCTGAAAGCCGACTAGAAGAGATAATAGGAGAAAGGTAAGTCACTTCATTCTAGCTCCAGTTTGTAGCCTGCAAACATGTTCATCTCCGTTCCTTAACCCCAAAGTAGAAAGTGCTTCCTATGGCAGTGCTGCACAGTGTGACTGATATTCAGTGTCTCCACCCTCTGCATAGAGACACTAAACTTTCCCCATAGAGATGCATTGATTCAGGAGATGCTGATTGTCCAGGGCTGGGTTTGACTTGTGCTGGCTTTGCACCTGATCTGTCTCCTTGGCAAGCTCAGTCAAGCTAATGTGAAAGCATTGAGATTAATTCAGAACACAACGTATGATGCCAGCCAAGCAGGCAGAGCCAGCAGCAGCAGACTGAAGTAAAGGTAAGATTTTGCTATATTTAAGGGGGGCTAGGTGGTGTTTTTAACAATATAGGGTCAGGAATACATGTTTGTGTTCCTGACCCAACATTGTTCCTTTAACGTGTTGGAAAAACCATTCATGCTAGTGTGTTTTAATATTGTTTTAGGTTGATCTATTCTTTGGGGTGGGCCTCTCTAATACATGGGCAGGCTGGCTGGTATGAAATACCTGTTGGCACCTAACTATCCGTGACTGTTTCCCTTTTCCATGCTTCAATTTCATAGGCATAACTGAAAATACACTGCTCAAAAAAATAAAGAGAGCGCAAAAATAACATCCTAAATCTGAATTAAATATTGTTGAATGTGCTGACAACAAAATCACACAAAAATTAAAAAAAGGAAATCAACTTTTTCAACCCATGGAAGTCTGGATTTGGAGTCACACTCAAAATTAAAGTGGAAAAACACACTACAGGGTGATCCAACTTTGATGTAATGTCCTTAAAACAAGTCAAAATGAGGCTCAGTAGTGTGTGGCCTCCACGTGCCTTTATGACCTCCCTACAACGCCTGTTCATGCTCCTGATGAGGTGGAGGATGGTCTCTTGAGGGATCTCCCCCCAGACCTGGACAGTCTGTGGTGCAACGTGACGTTGGTAGATGGAGCGTGGCATGATGTCCCAGATGTGCTCAATTGGATTCAGGGCTGGGGAACGGGTAGGCCAGTCCATAGCATTAATGCCTTTGTCTTACAGGAACTGCTGACACACTCCAGCCACATGAGGTCTAGCATTGCCTTGCATTAGGAGGAACACAGGGCCAACCGCATCAGCATATGGTCTCACAAGGGGTCTGAGGATCTCATCTTGGTACCTAATGGCAGTAAGGCTACCTCTGGCGAGCACATGGAGGGCTGTGCGGCCCCCCAAAGAGATGCCACCCCACACCATTACTGACCCACTGCCAAACCAGTCATGCTGGAGGATGTTGCAGGCAGCAGTACAATCTCCACAGCGTCTCCAGACTCTGTACCCTGTACTCAGTGTGAACCTGCTTTCATCTGTGAAGAGCACAGGGCGCTAGTGGCGAATTTGCCAATCTTGGTGTTCTCTGGCAAATGCCAAACGTCCTGCACGCAGGGCCAGACTGGCCCACCGGGATACCGGGAAATTTCCCGGTGGGCCGTAGCAAGCATGATCAGCATGAAAAAAGCCATTTAAATATTTCCCCCTCGGACTGACAGGCTGGCACAGTCTGAGGGGGAAATATTTAAATGACTTCATTATGCTGATTATTAGAATAAGGAGAGAGGAGCTGGGGGCTGGTGTGGCTGCCAGGCTGGAGGCCTGTCAGTCTCCCTCCACAGTGTAACTACATTTTGGCCGCATGCCCCGCCCCCACACAGAAGCTCCGCCTCCTGAACAGAAGCCCCACACGTAAGCTCCGCCCCCACACACATTCCTTACCTGCTGGAAAGCTGCCCACTGGACAACCAGGAAATAACAGAAAACTTACCCACTCACAGCCCCTACCTACCATACAGCCCCCTACCCATCTCACAGCCCCCTACCCACCATACAGCCCCCCCTACCATCTCACAGTCCCCTACCCACCATACAGCCCCCACCCATCTCACAGTCCCCTACCCACCCAACATACAGCCCCCCACCAACTCAGGCCCCTACCCATCTCACAGTCCCCTACCCACTCACAAACCCCTACCCACCACACAGCCCCCTAACCACCCACCATACAGCTCCCTCTACCCACCTCAAGCTCCCTGCCCACCATACAGCCCCCCCATACCCACCCACAGTCCCCATAGCCACCATACAGCCCCCTTACCCAACTTACAGAACCCCTACCCACCTTAGAGAATCCCTACCCACTCACAGCCCCCCCTACCCACCACACAGCCACCCTACCCACCTTACAGAACCCCTACCCACTCATAGCCCCCCTACCCACCTTACAGCTTCCCTACTCACCTTATTAGAAAAAGAAATATATATATATATCAATAATATGTAAGGCGTATTATCTAAGGTGGCAACACATAGCCGTACGTATTACATGTGACAATACATGGCGCAGTGACTTATGGGGCTGGCGTAGATTTTTTTCCAGGGCTGCTTTGTATCCCCAGTCCGGCCCTGCCTCCATGGTGTTGGGCTGTAAGCACAACCCCCACCTGTGGAGGTCGGGCCCTCATACCACTCTCATTGAGTCTGTTTCTGACCGTTTGAGCAGACACATGCACATTTGTGGCCTGCTAGATGTCATTTTGCAGGGCTCTGGCAGTGCTCCTCCTGTTCCTCCTTGCACAAAGGCGGAGGTAGCGGTCCTGCTGCTGGGTTGTTGCCCTCCTACGGCCTCCTCCACGTCTCCTAATGTACTGGCCTGTCTCCTGGTAGCGCCTCCATGCTCTGGACTTTACGCTGACAGACACAGCAAACCTTCTTGCCACAGCATTGATGTGCCATCCTGGATGAGCTGCACTACCTGAGCCACTTGTGTGGGTTGTAATGATATGTTTGTGTTCCTAACACTATATTGTTTCTTTAAGTGAT